ATTAGGATGTTTGGCCAACACCAGATCACATTCTATATCTTTATCTGTGGGAGGAAACTGGAGAATCCGGAGGAAAACCATGCAGAACGAAACGTACAAACTCCACACAGCTGCCCCGAGGCAGGTATTGAACCCAGGTCGTTCTTGTTGCGAGGCACAAGTGTCACCACTGGGCCATCCTGTAACGACGCATCGATTGCTCAAAAAAGAAGTAAAAGTCACCCCTTGCCAACATTGCTCAGGACCGTATTATCCCCAGGCGCGCCACGTTGGGTCCCAGTACCTCTAAGCTCCAGATCCCCAGAGTCCCTGGCGTCCAACAAGTCTCAACTCGACATCTGCCCCCCGGCTTTACACAATCTCAGCTCGCTGGAGGCTGCTCCAGTGTTCGCTTGCGTAAAGCAATTGAAATCGGTGCGAATCATAGGAGAAAACTTCACGTAATAAATGTACGTTTCGCAACCGAATACGGCCCCCCCTCGGTCCCCTAGAGAGGTCTGTTGCAAATAAACACCATAAGTGAAAGGAGACCGCTGCTGAGTTTCGCGCCTGAGTGCAAGTAAAGTTTTTTTTTATCCGATGAAATCTCCCGACAATTCACAAACTCTGCTGTCCATCCACCTTCCTTTGGATTCAACTCTGAACTACCAGCTCTGGTGGCCTTAACTCACTTCTAATCCCAGATCCCTCCATCCCCTCAGCTCCCCTGATCCTCAGCTCCCCCAGATCCCTCAGATCCCCGTCCCTGAATCACCTCTTCCCAGCTCCTTTCAACTCCACAACCTCCCTCGGCCCAGCTCCTTTCGACGGCCACCCCACGTGGAACCTCCCTTCAAAGTCAACCTCTCTGCAAGGCCACCAGCGTGTACCATGCGCCCCTCCAACTCCACATCCCCCCTCCAAGTTCCCCTGCGGTAACGTCTCGCTTCGGTCTAAACTCAAATCGTAAGTTGACAGCAACCCAGGTAAGACCACGCCCCCCTCCCCCACCACCAATGTCCCCTTCAACTCCATCGCCCCTAACCAAGCTCCCTTTAAACAAAACCCAAAACTCCACAGCTCCCCTCGATGGCTTTGCTCTGACGCCCATGCAACTCACGGCTTGGGAAGGAGAGAGAGAGACGGGGAGATTGATAGCCGGGACTCACTGCTGCTGATGGTGCTGTTACTCCTCCTGCTGCCAAAGCTGTAGTCCCTCCTGTTGCTGTAGTTGCTGCTGCTGTTGCTGTTCCAGCCGCTGCTGTAGCCGTGACCTCGGCAAAGTCTCCCGCGGTCTCCCACTCCTCCTCGTCTCCCGCCTCACGTCACTCGGTTTGCCAGTCCCCGCCCCCGGCTTCCATAGCAGCCGCGACGAATAACAACCCACAGAGCCACCACCAGCTCGAGCTGGGGAGATGCGAGTGCGCCCCATGTCCACTGCGCTGCGATGTGGCACTAGAGACGTTATTGTTGATGTCCGTGACAAACGCCGGTCTCTCTCACCCCCTTCTCTCTCTCGCTCGCCCTCTGTCGGCTTGAGGTGTCCATGGCTGACGCCCTCATGGCCACACAGTCACATTGAGCCCTGTAGAATCGATAATTCGCAGGTCGGCTCCACCCGTGGTGGCACAACTTCTTGCGAGTAGTTCCGATTTCTCGATGTGGCCAATGACAATTAATTACGTGGTGAAACATCGGAAACGAGCGGGATGTCAAATTGCTATTTTACAAATGGTTGGCACGTGACAATGAATTATGTGATAAACATTTTTTTTTACTCTCAGCCATAAAAATACATCGGTACTTCCAAAGTTGGTTTCTACCTTTAGGCGGTTACCAATTTCTAATATGGCCACTTGGACTATACATAACAACAATGACCATGAGCGTTGTTGTGGAGAAAGTAACACAATTTATCAACTAAACTATTTAAGCAATGTCTCCATCATATATTTGTCTCTCCATATAATAACGTACGAAAACCAGCGGCACCACGGTCTTGTGGGAGTACATGGAAAATAAAAAATGTACAACCAGACGGTCCTTTATAATACACTCCCGGAAGGCCGTGAGGCCGCTGGGTTGTGAAAAATGTGATATATTTTATATTGAAAGGCAAACATATTTCTAGATTATTTTGCGCCACGATTTTGGTCGTTGTCAAGCCACCATACAAAGACAAAGATTCCCCCGTGTGGCCTTTAACAGATTGTAGTGGCAATTGCTGTGAGCATCTATCTCCCGTCGCATTCCAGCCCTCTCTACTGGCTGACTGCTGCGCGCATTGAATTCATGACCCCCACGCGCATCTGCAACCACCACCACCACCACCATTGTCCAACCCTGGAGGAAGGAGCGCTGCCGGTAGAAGATGCGGTGGGGCTTAAAAAGGAGAGGCGCAAAGCCAAAAGGAAGGAAGAGGCAATGGGTCCTCAATATGTGTGTCGTGCCTGAAGAGGAGGCCCAAATAAGACGTTACCACCAAGGCACGTGTTTACCATTGCGCATTTGTGTTTTTCGTCACTGCAACATTGACGCAAACGATCCCTGCGCAGGCAAAAAATTTTCCTCAATGCAAGGCCGTAGCCATGAAGTCAACATTGGGGGGGACCAAATCTTCCAAGAGGTGTGGGGGTCCCCCTCCAGAAAAAAATCTTAATTTGAAAACGAATTTCCTGCCTACAATATTTTAAAAAATTCACTAACACATAGGATGGACTTTTTATTATTTTTTTGCAATGGCTAATAGTGTATTGTATTACACTGCTCTGTTTTTACTTTTTTACCTTTTCTTGTTTCATTGTATGTAATGGCAGAGATTAGGGATTAATAAAGTACAATCATAACCACAATCATATAAGCAGAAATCTATTTTATAGCAATATATTGGGGGGGGACATTTTGAGCATAATTGAATATTGGGGGGGATGTGTCCCCCCCAATATTCAATTCTGCTAATTACGGCCTTGCCTCAACTGTATCCACTCCGCAGGCTGGATTGGAAGAGTGATATTCTACAACAAGTGGCGAACGTGCTACCGGCCGTGCGATGTGACCCCCGCTAATCCAGGGTGGAATGGCTATATGGTGACTGATATTGTGAGACTGAAATGAAATTAATTTCCACAAGGTTTTAAATCAGGCTTGGGGGAACCTACGGTCTGTGGCCACGGGGCCTACCGCACCGAAAAGGCCTGCAAGTAATGTCTGCCACTTGTATCTTAACCACACTAATCGGGTACTGGTGTGGAATATATTTGACCTGGCAACACTGTACTTCTAATTTTAACGTGTGCACGACACTTATTTTTATTGCAAGGGCCTTTTTTCAGTCACATAATTGGGGAGTGTGTGTTAATGCAGTTGCCTGCCAAAGGCATTTGAAAGTCCTATTCAGCCCTCAATAAGGAAAGGGTTTCTTACCCTTGGTTTAAAGTGACAACAGCTGATCACGCCACAACCGGCCCGCACTGCGCACGAACAAAAATGGAAACAGAATACGCACTCCGACCCCCCACGGGGCCACCGACTGCCAGCTAAAGCAAGAGCCAAGAGCTCCTCAAATAGCTTTTTTTTAAAGCCCTTCCTATAGTTTTTCGATCAAATGCGCTTTGACTTTTTTTTCCTCGTCCAACAACTTTACGGAGGCCACTGGCTCCACAAACATCTGACAGCAGTCCTCCACTATTGGCGCTTACCATCACCACCATCATCATCATATACCGTCAGTTGCTGCAGTTCACATATCAATCCTCGCCATTCTCGTGCCTCCTCCACTCCATGAACCCGTCTTTGTCTCGGTCGTCCTCTGCCTCTGGTGCCTTCCACGAGCGTGGGGGCACTGCGTTGGGCGATGTCCGCAAATTCTACCGACGGTACTTGAGTTTTAGCGTTGCGTTCGAATTGCGCAAACGTTGGTTTGCTGAACGTTGAACAATGCCAAATATTCCACGACTTAATACATTACCCACTGTATTAGGCTCAGCCTGTAATCACCGAGGGCTGCAGGCGTGATTGAGAGTGCCGTCTGGTGTTGCAGGCAAGAGCGCGTGCCTGTGGTGGGCATTCGTGCACCCCCCTCTCAGCATGGGTGACAACGCGTCAGAACGACTCGGCCAAAACCAGGGGAAGCCCGCCAGCCATGAATATCCCTCACAAGCACGACCTGCGAATCATCCACGGGCATCGTCAACCATTAGCGCCACGCGCTGGCTCCAGGGCGAGCGGCCACTGAATCTGCCGTAACACCGCAGCCGTCCTTTTGAATTGTCTAAATCCTGGACAGCTTGGCTTACCGGGGGGGGAAGGTGGACTTCAATTTGGATTAGGGATTATGTGACGCAATTATCAATAGGAGTGCACTCGAACACCAATCTGTTTGGTGTAGTTTCATACCCCCCCACCACCACATATATGATTTAAATAATGTGCTTTGCATTTTTAACGCATTCCAAGTATGTAAGCATTAATGCATTAGCTCTGTCCGTCTCCACGGATGTCTATCCGGTCTGTCTGTCGAGGGTGCACGATAAAGCTTGAATGGTTAATCCAATAGGACCAAAATGTCAGTGACAATGCGTCACTATTAGGTACTTTCCCAGGTGAAAACCAGCCAAATTGATCAAAGCGTTGCCCAACAGTGTTGCAACCAGTCTGGATTTGCTACCAGAGACTGGGAATTGGCTTGTTCAGGTGGCAGGATCTGATTTGCACCGAGATTTGGTGGTATTGTGTTGAACTGTGTGACAATATTCTGCAGTGTTTTGATAGACCTAAGGTCATTGAGAAAAAATTCTGAGTTTGGTCTGTGAAAAACGTGGCAACCCGTGTTGCCCAATATTAAATCATAAAAATCACTGAAAGGATTACCTTCTACATCACACATCATGCACACCTTCCGTTCCAATAATATATGATGGGACACGTTATACAGCTTTACAGGATCCATGGGTATGCTTGATTTTTCTTCCTTTTTTAATTTTGTGTACGATGTGTAACAATAGCGTGGCAAGAACATGTGCTTAAGAACAAGTACTTTATTGTATGCAACAAATGCAGAGATGGAAGAGCAGACATTCATATTTGTAGGCTTTTCCATGATGCCAAGTTCGGTAAGAGCATGTCAAGATTGGTTGAGTCAGTAAACCACACCGGAGTACGGAATTCCGTGCTGGCCACTTCACTCACTGCTGCAGTGTTTCAAGACAATGGGCAATGGCCAAACAAGGGTTTATACACCTTTAGTAACTTCATAATGTATGTATGTATGTTGAACTCCTTTCACAGCGTACATAGCCAAACATGCTAATCGGAGGGATGAATGTATGAGGACCCCCAAACCTCTTGGCCAAAGTATATCCTTCCACATTAACCAACGCTGCCTTATTCGCCTCTGCCCAGGGCTAAGGCCTCTTGTTCAGAATCCACGATGTGAACCGTGCGCTTTCTTAAAGGGTGATTTTATGGCAATTGCTATCAATCGTCATCGGCAACACATTTACGAAACACGATTGGGGCAACTTCCAGTAGTAATGGCAACGAGTAATCGAGTTTTGTCTAGCCAATGAAAACATAGTTTGTTTAAAAGTGTGTTTGATCAAGTTTTTAGTCTACGGCACATCCAGTTGCTCACCGGGGGAAAGAGCGATCAGATTTCTCCAGATTGTGGCATTTCCTTTTTATTGTTGTTTACAATAAAACAATAGAAAACGGTGCGGGCAACCATTGCCGGTGAGGATTGCTCGCAACGAATTTCCTAAAATTGCCCTGGCAGCTGACAGCGAGTGACCACGGCCGCCCATTGAGGGGTGTGAGTCCTGGGGTAAATCACATCGTGAGCCCCCTCCCCCCTCCAAACTAAACCGGAAGTATTACATCCGACACCGCGACGTCGAAGCGTGCCCCCCCCCCCCCCCCCCCCAAAGAGCAGGGCCTGGGGCGGTCACCTCGATTCACTGTCACCCTAGGGACGGCTATGCTGGTGACTTTCGCGCACCAGATTAAAGGTCCGAAAGTCTCTAAGATTGTTAAAGCTGATGCTGAGCATGGCTCGAGTCAGTGTCTGCATGTTTGAACGTGTTGGAAATGGTTTAAAGATATAAGTGCAAATTTGAGCTTTTGCCAGCCTAAAGTGAGTCCTTTTAAAAATATCCAACGTTGATAACTTTTATGCGATAGCCCACTGCATGCCGACGATGCAACTTGTTTATTGCATCGGATTGAAACTAAATAATTGACATGTACCTTTTCTGACAGTCATCACGTAAAACGAGCTGCCTATGCTGCTATTAAAATAAAAACCAACAGATAAAACCCAACATTGCTTAAGCGGCCGTGTGTTTAATGCAAATAGGTAATTTCGTAGCCCAAAATGTGTCGAACAGATGTATTGATATCACATACATTCAAATGCAGCCGGGGTGAGCATAATTGTGTAACAAAAACAAATATTTTTTTGTTCCTGGGTAGTGTTATTTTCTAATGGCTTATGCCTCAAAAGTACAGAACATGGCTATTATTCACCACAAACTTTGCTTTTGTGACCAGGACAGTGATATTTTGAAATGTACATATTTTCAATGAGAAAAGGTGTGCATTTGTGTCATTCTTTCACGTAAAGTCCTGGTCACAAAGGCAAAATTTGTGGGGAATAAAAGCCATTTTCTATACTTTTGAGGCATAAGCAATTAGAAAATAACTCTTACTACCCATGAACAAAAATCGTGTTACAACGTGAATTTATAATGAATGGCAATGCCTCTCAGTCCAGCTGTTGCCGATGCCACGAGGCTACCCATTCCTGCCAAGGCATCACATTCCACCCCCAAAGCTAGGCTTCTTCGACAGAGGCTCTTATACCTCTTTTCCACTGTACAACCGAGCCGCACTGGGGCCATGCCAAGCCAGCCCCGCAACGACTCAAGAGGAGGGCGCCAGGTTCTTTTTTCCACAGCAGAAGAGCCGTGCCGCTGATACGTATTGATGACATGGTGATGCTGTCCTCAGTGTTAATGGACTGATGGAACTAGAATTAATGTCATTAGCCTGACTCCTGGCCCTGCTTGGCACCGAGTCCAATTCAGATGTATTATGAGGCCAGTGAATCATGGTTTCGTTCCAGAATGGCACAGACATTAGCCAGTGGAAAACCACCCATATACCCATTGGGGGACCTGCTCAAGCTTGGCTAGGATGTGATAGTGTAAAAATGGATATTAGGGAGCCTGCGTCCAATATGGGGGAAGCATTTTTATTTGATCCATTGTTGGGTGTGGCTGATTAACCTCTGCCTGCTACTGAAGGGGTTCTCTCTGTTCTTAGAATACAGCAGCAGAAAACTGGAATGACTTCACATCGACTGGACCATTCTGGGCTACGTTAGGCTCATTTTTACTTGAATGCCCCTTGTACAAAACTGAAAATTAAAATAAGTTATTAAACATAAAAAAAGCAAAGGCTGCTCATTTAAAAATCAAACCGATGGAAAAATAGTATTTAGTGTACTCAAAGGCAGCTTTAGAACTAAACACAAACAACAATTAATTTGCAGAATACACATTTCCCAGTCATACACATCATCGGTAAAAAAAACAAATGCGTAGTGGTCAGACCTATTAAAACAAAGATTCGCAAAGAAGAATGTAAAAATGCATCGTACAGAAATTTAGGGAGCTTATTACTGTACAGGTAACACCATGAAACGCTCGGGCAAGCAGGCTTCCACGACCCGACCGTTAGCTTCACTGCGGAGAACGCAAGTCTTCCCCCTCCTGGATATGTACAAACAGCACGCAGGTGTGTTCGAAACATATGGTAAATTCATTAACACTATACATTAATAACAGCAACGTCCTCACGCTAAAATACAATTGCATTGATGAACACACAAAAAAAAAACCTAAGATAAATAAATCCCCCACTTCAAGCCTCTCACAGCGGCGGCGTTGTACCAAACGCGTTCCTGCTGCACCCAAGTCGTCGCAACGTGTCGGACGGAGGCGGCAACGCGAGTTGTGTCACAATTACAAAAACACACAAAACCCAAACTTAAAAAAAACCACGCCTACTACGGCGCACACAGCTCTGCCATTTACAGCATCTCGCTTGTTAACAAGTCACCAAGTGTGCGGTCGATGCGTTACGCGTGGCTTTGTTCAGTGGCAGGGACTGGGATTAAGAACTTGAATCGTGCGTTCATGTTACGGCCAAAGATATAGCGGCCTACATTCACAACATTTGATGCTGCAGTCGACGCGATGGTGGGCAAGTTTCTCAAATCTCTCCCGCTGCTTCTTTGCCCACCCACCAGCATACGTTGGTTACACCACAGTTAGGCGATCGGCTGGCTGGTCGTGGTAAAGTGTAGGTAAAACCCACCTCTTGCAAGGCATAGGGCCGGTGTGGAAGAGTCGGCCAATATACCCTCTAGATGGGCCCTTTCGCCAGCACTGGCAAGAGCAAATGATTGCAGGGCTGCACCTTTGACTTGCTGGCTAACACAGTAAGTCTGAAAAAAATAGCATTTAGAGGGCAATGGTGTGCCTGTGAACCTTCGTTTGACTCGGCCATTGCAGCAAGTGGTATGCTGCAAATAAATACTCAGCAAAACAACAACTTGGTAACAAATCCCTCGGTGAAACGTCTCGCATCATGCTCATTAATTGCATTGGCATTGTGTTACAGACGCGGCATAGAGGATGATTAACGTTCTGCTGCTTGACAATTGTGCAGATGCTCCGAGCGACTGTTTTGACAACTCCCAGTTCACGAGCGGTGCGGGCTGCATAAACACAACTTCCATTGACGATGAAAATTTAATCAACCTTTGCAGGAACTGCTCTCTGCCCTTGCGTGCCTACAGATGTACCGACGCCACCTGTGTGTGTGCGCGCGCGCGCGTGCTTACAGCCAAACAGGCAGAAGGTGTGAACCAGCACAGGAGTAAGCAAGGCGCTGAGAAAGGCTCCATTCGTGTTCAGGGAGGGGGACGGTGGGGTTAGGGGGTGTTCTAAGCCCTAGCCAGCCCATGCGGCAATCGGCGTCAATCATGCAAGCAGGATGCACAAACGAGCAACTTTGTCTGAGAAGCTAACCATCGACATGAAACACCCAACCGACACGTTAAGACGAGCATCTGATCTGCCAGAAGCCGTTTGCTGATCAAAACGTGGCAACGACTGATTGGGAATCGTCTTCTCTAGATCACACAGCTTCGCCACGAAACGGAAAAATAGTACGTCAACAATCGGCGCGTGCATCGCATTAAAGGCAGCCTCCGTCACCTGCCGCATTGACTGTCATGCGGTTAAAATTCATGCTGGCATCACGGGCGGGCTTGCCTAGGAATATATTAGCATGTAAGGCAACAAGATGAGAAAGCACGCAGACCCCCCCCGTGCAAGACAACTCCACACATTTTCAGGGTGTGTCGGTATCTTGCAAAATGTTTTCTGCTCGGAATTGTACACGCAAAAAATGAACAAAAAAACCACGTAATTTACATGAACATTTTTTTACACAAATATCCTCTCCCTATCCACGTTACCTCACAGGCCTACCCCCCCCCTCCCCCCCAGACTAAAAATACAAGTTGATAAGTTAAATATCTTCGCTTTTAAAAACAATATTTACTTGGTCACCATCTCCATTTGAATCTGTCACAGCAAAACTTTGTTTAAACATTTCCACAAATAAGACGGGGTAATCTCTTGTGATGCAAACCCAGAGTGCCAACCGCCAATCGCTCACCAACATTTGTTTGTGTAACCGTACATTCACTCAACGTTTTCGTTCCCTTAAAAAACATTGTGCCATTTTAACAAGCAAACGGTTACACCTTTTTTTTAAGCTTTTTTTTTTGGGGGGGGGGGGAGTTAATCGTGTAGAAAAAGCGAAGTTTATATAAAGGCAATCTGTGGCCCAAAACGGGAGTAGCGCCCTACCCCCCCCCCAACCCCCGCCATCCCCTCCGGCTACAGAAAAGTGATGGTTCTCCTCAACGTTGCACGATTGTTTTTTTTTTCACCGAAAAGCAGGCAGAAAATGTTATTGCATGGTCCAAGAAATCGTATAAAAAGGCTCGTTAACGCGGTGGGGGGAGCATTAAGACGTCATTATAAACACTCAAACCACTAAATGATCACACTCCGCCACGCTGGTCGGTGCGGGCTGGCGAAGGTGCGATCGACTTGACGCCGCACAAGGAACGCAAATCGGTTCTGGGCCCGAATCACAACTTGGTCACACACCCTCGTTTCGTCCCGCGAGGTCTCTCCGTGGATGCTGCGTGCGTAAAAAAAGGGGAGCCGCAATCGCCTTGCGCTTCATCAGCCCAGCGTTTTGCCGAGTTTGGTCTTCGGATACGAACGAGAAAAATGATTTTTTTTTTTACCGGGCCCGAAGAGATCGGAGTTGTGGCCCTGAGGCGTGAACTGCTAAAACGAGATGGGTTAGACGGTCCCCCCCATCTTTGCTCTGGACCGGAATAACTGTGGTTATTTTTGTGAGGAAAGCACTCCAGCCAAAACTGATCCAAGTTAACAAAAGGTAGCTAGTTCAACGCAGCCCTTACCGTCTGGGCCACGGGGCCTCACACCATTTCAGAATAGAGTCAGTTCATTTACATGAAGGGAAAGTTCGATCTCTTCTTGAAACCATTGGTGGAGCGCGGTGCTTGAGTGTTTACATGTCCCCCCCCCCCTCCATCCCACCGCATGCCATAGACCCCCCCCCCACCCCTCCACAAGTCTCGCTTCCCCGAGCCTCTGGAATTTCCAACAATGGCGCGATGGTCTGGGGGGGGGGGGGTACACCGATGCTCCTCCGGCAGGCGGTGTGCACGCTCCAACCCGAGCAGTAGTGGCAAGAGTGGCGGTAGCGACGGCGTTGCCGCTGTCGTTGACGACGTCGCGGCAGGGATGGCAGGAGCACGGCCCTTCCGGAGCACAGGCTTCACATGATACCGTTGGTGAAGTACTGGAAGCCATCATAGAGGCGTGTGGTGAGCGAGCGCATGCTGCCCTCCACCATCTGGTCGATGGTCGCCTGCAGCTGCTCCTCCGTGAGGCTCATGTGGAAGCGCTCCTTGAGCTGCCGGATGGTGCTGGCGCCGTGGAAGCACGGCAGCTGGGAGCCTGCAGGGGGGAAACGGCGGAGCGGTTTCTGTTGTTGTCCATGTCATGGGAAGCGTAGACACGAGCGCCGTTAACGTTCAGAAGCAATTCACCGCTTTTAATGCGGGAACCTACGCGGTCGGACTGTTATCAAATCGCCAGGAATGTGCCTGCTCTTCTCGTTAGAGCTTGAAAAATAAGCAGGGGTGAGCCGGGATAGCGCTTGGATGAGTGACTGCGCCGCGTAAAACAGCTGGGCAAACTGCAACGCCGCAGAATGCCGCCTTGCTCTGTACCATATGCTCCGACGTCTACACAACGCACCTTCACCAACCTGCACTGCCCAACACGGTGAAGTATGAGTCACGGTGGCGAGATGTCGGCTACCTCGCCCGGTATGCAGGAGGTCGTGGGTTCGATCCCAACATGCATTTTGAGTGCTTAGCTGCTATACATTTCCACATGGCGAGCCACTTCACTGAGCTATCATTTGCGGCCAGGTCGCTTCTGAAAAAGAGCTAACTAGCTCAGTGGGCCTTACCTGGTAAAATGAAAAATAATGTCAAAGCAAAGTGCCACAGCGTCCCGCACAGGTCCCTTATCGAGCGGCGGATTGACAAAAGGATTGCACACGTACACATGCGCCCGCGGCTGTATAAAACAATTGTAGGCACTCCACACCACGACAGGTGAACTGAGAGGTCGATATGAAACAAAAATTGATGCACAGAGGTGTAACCCAAAACACATGGCAGACTGTGGTGCAATGCCTCCAGAGGGTGCCAATCTCACCTTGCTGCATGATCTCCACAATCTGAACCACCCTCTCCATGTGCTTGCGGGCCCCTATCAGCCCTTGCAGCATCAGCAGCTTGAAGTAGATGAACATGTCGCTGTCCTGCCCCCCCATCACCTGCAAGGCACACGGAGCGAAGGTGTGGGGTGGCAATGGGTGGGGTAGGAGACAACCGACGTCATCACCGGGATTCCCGTGCAAAAGAGACTTGTGGCTTCTACAATTACTATATCTATGGGACCTTTTGGCCAGTATCAAAAATGACGAAGAATAGGAATACGTTTTACCATTTCTGGGAATAAAACAGGTGTTAAGATGTTCAAACACCAAATGGCTACCTTTTGCAAGGCATCAAGTCTGAATTAACGACTCATGCTTGTGGCAAAACATGCAAACAAACATGCTCTGATAATATATGCAGTCTTTGAAACTGATTAGCCTACACCAGAGACAGCCCTCTTTATTTTCTTGTCTCACCAGTGTCAGACCAGAGAACAACGCCAAAAAGGCAAACAGTTACTCTCGTGGGGAAGCACACAGTAATTGTCACCCACTACTGAACAGGACCCTCCTGGAAAGGTCTTGAATTTCAGCGAGGCTTTCCTGGGTAAAAAAAGCGTTGCAATAGTAATCCAAGATAAATAGACACACGGTTTCTGTACAGCGTCTTGATATGCGGTCCCATTTAGTCCCCACTATGTGAAGCCAACTTGTGATCGTATTTGTAGAGCTCTCGCCTGGGTGAAATAAAATCATGTATGTTGAAATTATTTGCACACCATATGTAGCCAACTGCACTCATCGGAGGTGCAGGGGGAAGGACAACAAAATCAACACAAAAAGGAGTTCTGAAGAAATTAGTTTTCAATCTATATTTAAAAGTGCATAGCTTCAGTGGCTTCCTACGATATCGGTAGGAAGAACGTTCCAGAAGCACATCTAAAAATTGAGCGATGACTGAATGATTGGGTTGGCTGGCTGGCATGAACGCACCCAATTTTTTTGTACCGCCTCCACCCGAGTGATATGTGATCCCCATTATACAGCAATGACAATGCATATTAGTAAATTCATACAATAACAACCCTGGAATGGCACCTTCTGTGAACTCATTGTGTACCTGTCAAGGATACGACCAAGAAACATTACTCATAGAGCAGAAAACCCACTGCAAAAAAAAACGTGAACTTTGCTATTTTTTTATTTAAAGCTTTTGTGACTGCAGGGAATCATATTCTTGGTTCTTTCGGTAAAGTCACGTAGAAGGGAAACAATAAAATAATAAAAATATAAAACGATAAAATTCTCACGACGTTTCGACTGCAACACGAGCAATCATCATCAGGTGAACTTTGTTATTTCGTTCTGAAATTGGCAATGGCTCGGCCGGTTAAATGATTACACGCCCGGTATATTGTCGCTATATAACAACCATATGGAAGCACACCGAGACCAGATGTTTCTCGTTTAAGGGAGACCTGAGTCAACATAAATACATTATTAACAGAGCAAACTATCTCTAGAGTACAAACAAGGCAAAAGGCAGGAATAAAAAATGATACAAGACGAATAAAAAGGCAAACATAGGGCCAATAACAGCATGCAAGTGTGAACAATGCAATGCAAAGCAAAGTTAAGGCAGAAAAGATAGGTTTCAGTGATGCCGCGGGCTGGATTAAAGGAGTCTGTGAGCTGCATTTGGCCCAAGGGCTGTAGCTTATACAGCCTCCGCGGAATAATGAAATCCGATAGCGCGCGAGGAAATGTGATGCCGAGGCGGCTGGCTGGCTCAGAGATCAGAGCGCTGAGCTGGTGCAGCCATGACTACACAAAACAAGCATCACATTTAATTTGGTTCTGCACTTAATTTGCCCAAATCCCATCTCTGAGAATTAAAAAAAGCGGTTCGACTGTCACGCATTGCTCATTACTGTCATATGCAGAGTGAGTGGGAGAGTGCCGCCCCCTGCCGTGTAAAATTTAAATGTCTCTTGAAGGGATCTCAGAGGTGGCTCTGTGATGATCCGTTTCCGTGGGCAGTTCTGTTACGTTACAGCTGCCTGTGTACGCGCAAGCGAGCTCTATGAGCTCCCTCGGTTCGGTCTAAACACGTAAGGCCATGTGCACACGACACCGCTGCAGCCACTCCGCCTGCTGGCTTCTGCCTTTGGCAAGCAGGAATTGGCATGGATCAGCTATGCCTCCTTTTCAAAAGTAATGCAAACAAACACAACAGCAAAATTGCTTTAAGCAAAAGCAAACATTTCATAGCATAACCACCTTAAGTAATGATAACACTTGGAACTCGGCAAAGCAGTGCACTGAGGAATGCCTAATCCCAGGGCTAAACACACATCCGTGTGGCTGGACGTGTATGCGGGTGTGTGTCCGTGTGCGTGCATGTGCGCCTGTTTGTGTGTTTGTCTTTGTGAATGTCCGTATCTGTGTGTGGTGGGAGTGGTGGCACAGTGGTTCGCGCACTGCGCTTCAAACCCCTGCAGCCTGGATTATTCTGGGTCACAGCTTGCATTAGTAATGAGTGAAATCTGAAACCGATCCTGGTCCTCCCATAGGACGACTCTGCCTTAAACATCGGCACTGGAAGGAAAAAAAAAAGAGGGCGGGCATGGTACCGGCCAGAAACCACCCGCTCGTGCGTCATTGCAGGCTTTAATAGGTGCTCGCTAACAACAATTTTCCCCGACGAGTGTCGACAATGACGACGCAAGGAATCTTCCGTTCCTTGCGTTTGCGCTTAGCGTCCTTACGTCAACAAACTCCTGCGTGAGCTTAAACGCCGACACCTCAAAGCCCAGGTTGCGCGGCGAGTTGGACAGGATGAAGCCGAAGTCGATGTGGATGATGTGGCCTTCCAGGTCCAACAGGATGTTGCCGTTGTGTCTGAGGAGGAGGAGGAGGTGAACACCGTTTGATTAAAAAAAAAAACCCGACAACATGGGTACGAGGGGGAGGGCACAAGATGTGTGTAAATCAGTGTTCTTCACTAATTTTTCAAAGGCATCAGTGTGAGGTCCGCCACAGCGCCTGCGAGGGGTGTTTTCACATTTGAACGTATTGGCGGTACACCGGTGCGCGGTGTATAAAGTAAAAAAAAAAAGGGAGCATTTTTCGCAATTATTTATTTTACCACAATTTGCAACCCCGGTCAGATAAAACTAGTGGGGTGCGTCAACATCAGTTCTCGTGATGTCGAAGTGGTTGGAAAACGAATGTCAGTTAAAATTGTGATTTTTTTTTTTTACTATTTTATGAGGACTGATGTGTTACGTTGCAAAGGTGTACCGCCAATACGGCCATTTGTGTATTGTTGGGGGCCGTACGTTAGGGGCCGCGCTCAAGGCCACTAGGGGCCGCCAATGGCCCCGTGGCCCTTGTAATGAAGAACAATGGTTTGAACGTTGGCATGAATGCGCACGATATTTAAAATGAGAACACAAGCTTCTGGAAAGCACATTCTGAGAGAATACATTTTACACTCGGCCTGCTTATACGAGCGCTAGGTGCTGTGGTCTAAGAAGCCGTATACACATTAAGTAACATATACATACAATACTTACCGATTCATGTTAATGTATATATAGATAATTGTTGAAAGTACTTTCCTGCTCAAGTGAGCATTGAGGCAGTGCTTATATCCTGGTTACAGCCCTGAACCAGTGATGGAGATTCCATGTTCCTATGGCTGGGGGCAGGTCTATCAATAAGACAACTGCGGTTGACTGAACCACAAAGGTACTAATTTTATTGACCCTCAAGGGATGATGGGTTGAGCCAACCCGCAACCAGGAGTTGAACTCACGGACTTGTGATTGCGAGCCGCTCACTCTACCACCGGGCCACCAGGCCGTGCACGATATTTATTATTTATATAAACCACTCCCCATTGTCTACTGACCCACATGGTGAAGTATGGCCAAACAACTCACAACGGCCAACACAGTGCAAAGAGACCTTCATCCAGCGATGAAGTGACCAAGACATGTCAATTTGAGAATAAAATTTAACATTATAAACTCATCGTGAATATTACTCACCACCTTTGGCACGGGAAATGTTGTAACCCTGGGCATTAACACTTTGAAAGATGATGCTAAGTTTGTTTCTCATTTGTGTTTGTTGGCCACCAAAAACACCAATACCTTCGTTATTCGGCCTTTTGTTTATGACATCAAGAAACATTTATATAAGACATCTGCCACAAGATGGAGCCTGGTAGATACATAGTTCATGCACCCAGAGCAGGTACGTCACTTGTCTGTTACCACCTTCGGTGGTAAAACTTTAGTGCTACCGGTTACTTTGAATGGCCAATAAAAGTGAACTGCCATAACTTGTTCATGCGAGTGAATGACTTGGCACAAGAATATTTTTTTACTGGCCACTGACAAATTGGTTCAACTAATGTTTTGCCAACATACCTAACTGCTGTAATTCAGCTTTTGGTTAACCATCGAACAAAGACGGTCACTGCATCGCGCGCTTTCAGATGCGCTTCTGCGGCCGTCTGGAACGCTCTTCCTTCCGATATTAGGAAGCCACTGGAGCTGTGCACTTTTAAATAATCTAGATTGAAAAGTAATTTCTCTAGAACTGCTTTTTTTGTTTCGTTTGTTGTCCTTCCCCCGCACCTCCGATTAGCATAGATGGCTACAAACGGTGCGAAAAAAAGTTCAGCATACGTGGTGAATTCTGCCCTGGCCAGTGGTTTAGCAAATAATTATATGCTGCTGCTGCGTTGGCAGTGGTGCACACCCACAACACTGTGTCACTAACACTGTGTAGCCTTGAAAATAAATTTTAAAAAGATGTCAGAGGCAACTTTTCATGCAATGGCCATTCTTTAAAGCACGTAAATCGTGTGCTGTGACGAATGTGTTTAATATTTCTTGGATTAGCAAGGTCAAATGGATTGAGACAGGAAATTGTGCCCCCTTGTGGTTGGGATGTTTAGGCAGGGAAGCTGCGCGTAGCCTGAAGTGTTTAGAAAGGTATCCTTGTACCATTTCACTTATTTCCCCACTGAGCTTCGCTGAGTCTAAAGACTTTTTTTTTCAGGTGGGTCCTGATAAGTTTTCACAGTACGGGGGCAATGTTGCTATGTGTAATCCCAATTGAGTAATTTGCAGGTATTTTTTCAGCATTGGGTTGTCTGACCAATACCAATTACAGTTTTTTTATGTTATTGGAGGAAACCGGAGAACCCGGGAGGAAACCCATGCAGAACCACAGGAGAACATTCAAACTCCACACTGAAAGGCACCCAATTCGGTAATCAAACCCAGGCGCTTTTTGCTATGCCTCATCAGTGTTACCACTGCACCACGACCCTGCAACGTGTTGATTCATCGATTGTAATCGATTCTCGACTCTGCGAATAACACGAAAATTGTTGCAAAAATCTCTCGCGTCTGCTCCCACGTGTGCCGCTGGGCGGAAACTGATGGGCAGGACTTGGTGACGTCATGGACATCGCCAAGCTGTGCCACGCTGCGCGTGGCTTATAGAGGGATTTACACCATTGAGAGACAGGATGTGGTGCCGGCTGCAATTGTTAAAGGCGACTAAATAATCGACCACAAAAAGTAGTCGGTTATAATTTTTTATCGATCGACTTGATCAAACTTTGGATTTTTCAGCTCTAGGATGAACGAGGAGGGCTCCGGGTGGGAGACGCTGCAGCTGCTGACCTGTCCTTGACCTGCAGGAGGTAGCACACGAGGCAGTAGGCGGCGCAGCTCTGCACGAAGTTGCGCTGCGCAGTCAGGAATCCCTCCGTGGTGCGGCTGCCATGCTCTTGCAGGAAGTACTCCAGCAGCGACAGCTGAGACTGTTTCTTCACCTGGGCACACACGACGCTCGAACTCAAGTTTTACACGTTCACGCTTGGGGTCGTTGGGCGATAAGGATGAAATGATCATGGTTTTCGGAAATTGAATGTCGAATCCAAAAGTCATGGAATTGATAGTCGAACGCAGAGCGCTTTTATAGCAACGACCAGACCGACTGGCATAAAGGGAACGTTCGAACTGCACACGGCGGGTTTGAACGCGATTGGTCAGCGGCAGCTATCGCAAGGCACTAGCGGCAGGGCCCGTCATCGGTCACCACGTGGTACGTTGAACAACAGACACACGCGCTCGTACGGGATAGGATTTAGATTTTTTACTTAAAAGTTTCTATCATCATCAGCCATGATTTAATCCATTACTGGATTAAGGCCTCCCCAAATGCTAAACATATTCCACATACATACTGCAGGAGCAAAATAATGTTTTTTTATGACAATAACATTAAGAATAATTATGTCATTTAATTACCCAGGTAAGCCTCACTGAGTCTCAAAACTATTTTTCAGGAGTATCTTGCATTGGGATGCTTGGTTAATTCTACACATGGGAATATGGCTTGAAGTGGGATGAAATTGAAAGACCGGGAGGGTCAATAACACTTTCCGAAGTAAACAAGCATGATAAAAAAAACAATTATATTTTCTGTGCAAGTGGCCTGGCCTGGGTACCTGGTGGATGGAGACCGCGTTCACGATGGGCTCTATCATCCCACTGTCTGCCGAGGTCACCAGGATCTTGTAGGGCTTGAGCCAGAGAGGTACGCGCTCCTGCTCCCAAATCATCTGAGTAACAACACATCGACGGGTGAGAATATTCTACTCCTCCAGCGACACTAAACAAATCTCGCAGAACCTACATCGTCTGCTCAGGGATCGGGTGGGCAATGATGCAACGACGTGGCCCAGGGGAAGGTAGAGCATTCGCCACTTGTTGCAGATGTTCACGGGTCGAATCTGGCAGACCGCCCCAGTTTATATTGCGAGATGGTAACTGCCTTGCCTGATATACAGGAGGTCGTGGGTTCGATACCAACCTGGATACCCTTGTATATATGGAGTTTGTGTGTTTTTCTCCCCATGGTCGTGCGGATTTTTATCCGGGTACTCCGGTTTTTCCCTCCACATTTGGAATCAACAAGCGTTTAGAGTATTTGGCTGCTGTAAATTTCCACGTGATAAGCCACTTTGTTGAGCTATCATTTATGGCTTGGTCACTTCTCAAAAAGAGCTGTATAGCTCAGTGAGTCTTGCCTGGTAAAATAAAAAAAGTTTAGTTTAAGTCATGCATTTTTTATATTTTAATATTTTCAACTGTTAATAATTTAGCATTGACAAAACAGTGATTTTTTTTTTACATTGTACGTGTCCATTTAGAGCCATTTGTCACCAAGTCACTGCCATCTGTCAAGATCCTCGTGAGGGCAGTTTGACCATACTTCACTAAGCTGGCCATCATCCATCCAGAGTCATGGAATGGAGTCAACTCCCAGCCAAGATGTGTACTCACATAATTCCTATTGCGAACCGCTCACTGTAGCGCTGTGGCACCTGACCAGTAATGAATTCGTAATTAATTAAATATCTAAAATTATTAAGACTATAAAAAAATTATTTTACCAGGTAAGGCCCACAGAGCTATATAAACTCTTTTTCAGAAGCGTCCTGGCCGCAAATGATAGCTCAACGAAGTGGCTTATCACGTGCACATTTATAGCAGCCAAATATCCTAAATGGATGTTTCAAAATGTGGAGGGAGAAACCAGAGGACCCTGACAAAATCCCAGCGACTACGGGGAGAGAGACAAGCAAACTCCAAATATACGGGCGTCAGGAGTCGGGATCAAACCCAAGAACTCCTGTACACTTGGCGAGGTAGTTAACATCCTGCCACCAGGGTGCCCAAATAGCAATAACAAATTGGTTTATTTTGTACAATGAACCTGACTTTGTAAAATAAATCCCAAAGGATAGGGTGGGGGACCTCATTACATTGCCATTTGCAGAGGCATGACAACCACACCGCAGTTGACAGTCGCGAGAGGCCCGCTAAGAGGCCCTCTCTAAGAGGCCCTCTCGCACTGACCTGCAGCTGCTTGAGGACCTGGTAGGCCAGCAGCTCCTGCCTCAGGTCGTCGCCACACTTCACGATCACCGAGAGGAGGCGCCAGTTCGGGAAGTGGCCGTAAGGGGACACCTCCCGGATGCGGCTGCACGCGACAAAGAACGATCGATGAAGCGGTCTCATGGCGGAGCAGGATCCAGCGGGCCCCCTACTCTCGCCAAGCACCCACTTATGGGCTCACCCCCCAGTGCTCGTGGAGATAACAAACTAAAAAAACCACTTCACTCCCGAACTCAAAATATAAAAGAATCCCCCCCCCCCAACAAATACGTGATTATCAATGAGGCGAATAAACACAAAGACGAGATTCAGAGGAGGCAGGCTTAATTAAGATGTCGGGTGGCTTAGGGATTACTGCGGCGTCAGGCAGGGCACTGAGCCGGCACATAGCTGAGATCTCAGGATGGGATCTGGGTGGCCATCCTGTGATTAAACCGAGATCTCTAGAGAACAGAGTTGATGGTCTCAGTACGGCCACCATCGGCCGACATGGAGAACCACACTCGCATAGAGACCCGTAGACTCAAAGAGACCGAGGTGCGTATCATGGGACCTTTTTGCCAGTATCAAAGTATGAAAAATAAGAAGACGTTTTACCATTTCTGGCAATACAACCCTTTCTGGTGTTAAGATGTTCAAACACCGAATAGATACCATTTACAAGGTATCAAGTCTGCATTAACCACACATATTCTTGGTTCTTTCGGTAAAGTCACGCAGAAGGGAAATAATAAAATAATACATAAAGCAGACAATGCATGTATTATCAGAGCATGTTTGTTTGCATATTCACCACAAGTATGTGTGGTTAAATTTCGATTTAAAGCTTTCGTGACTGCAGGGATTCATATTCTTGGTTCTTTTCTTAAAGTCACGTGGTTTTGACACCTGATGATGATTGCAATCGAAACGTCGTGATAATTTTATTGTTTCATTTGTATTATTTTATTATTTCCCTTCTACGTGACATTCCCGAAAGAACCAAGAATATGAATCCCTGCAGTCACGAAAGCTTTAAATCGAAATTTAACCACTCATACTTGTGGCGAATATGCAAACAAACATGCTCCGATAATACATGCATTGTCTTCTTTACGGCCTTGTCTCACCAGATCAGAGAACGACGCCAAAAAGGCAAAGAGTTACTCTAGTGGGAAGCACAGTCATTGTCACCCACTACTGCCAAAAAAAGCTGAACAGGACCCTCCTGGAAAGGTCTTATATTTCAGCGAGGCTTTCCTGGGTAAACAAACATTGTAATAGTAATAAAATATGCATTGTCTTTGAAACTGGGTTCTCAAGTGTAGTGAGTTCGTCTCAACCAAGGACTGCACACATACAATCAGTGACATTGTTTTTACTCAATGTTATTCATTTAAACCCTGAGAAATATGAATGTTGATTTCATTGACATGAAACAAACACTCGTGGTGGATAAAAGTGGCACTCTTAGTGGATAAATACATTTGTTGGAAGTGGCTTCAGAATACAGGTCTGTGATGTTATCATCCAGAAACGCTATCTAGCAGAGGTGCACTGCTCGCTGTGAGCGATATCCGCGTGGAAATGTATCAATTTCATGACCAAACAGCGCAACTGGCATAGAATGTAACAGCCATCATCACCCATGATCAATCCACTGATGAATGAAGACTTCCCTCACAAGCCATTGACATCCCTTGTGGTCCTGCAATGCAACAATCTATCATCTCGCAATTGCGCATGGAGCTGACTTCATGGCTTCATCTCCATGGTGGACAGAATTAGGATGCCTGCTTTGAAGTAACGGTGGGACAGGCGAATAACGGACACAACGATGTGCATATTTAAACACACTCTTAAGCTCAAGACATGCGTTGAAGCACGCACGGATATAACTTATTTATTCCAATATATGAAAATAGTGTGCACTGATGTGCTGCTGTTACATTTAGGCCAATGGAGTGAGAAAAACAAAAAACCATCTCCGATTTGATGTATTTATTATCTTGTATTACAGAAAAATGGGGGTAAATTGGAAGGCCTAAAAAACACACATGAACACTCTCTTGCGCTGGAAAATTTCTGTGCTGTTGCTTCTTCTTCTTACCGCACTTTCTCCTTCCATGGCTCCTTGAGGGCTGCAGCCGAGGGGTCCTCGGGGTCTTTGCGGAACTGCGTGATTGGAACGCTGAGCTGCTCCGAAAGGCGCCGCCTTCAAAACAATGCAACGGAGCCAATGGGATCAGGACCGACGTTATTATTGCTTTATCATTATTATTGTTATTCTTAGGTTTTTTTTTTTCTACAAGCGTTGTTCTCTCTTTTGTTCTCTCTTTATGTCAACGACTTGGGCACTGACCTGGGTCATTCCAGGGTAAATCTTTTTTGCAGATGACACGATACTGATTACTGCTGGCCGCTCTCCAGATGACGTGATTGCTAAGCTACAGGGTGATTTCAACAAACTACAACATCAGCTAGTTGCTCTTAAACTAGTCCTGAATACCTCCAAAACCAAGGTGCTTTGCTTCTCACCAGGACTAAAGCAGGAAGTTATTTTTCCCCAATTACATTCCTTAAATAATTATCAAATAGAGCAAGTCAAGATCTATAAGTATCTTGGGGTCATCCTGGATTCAAAACTGAGTTTTGAAGATCACATTGAGTATATTGGTAAAAAGACAAAAATTAAAAGTGGTTTTCTGTATCGACACAAGCACTGCTTCCCCCCAATGTTCCGTTTGGAATTGATAAAAGCTACCATACTGCCTCTACTTGACTACTGTGACATCGTCTATAAATCAGCCCCAAGTACTGTACTGAAGAAGCTTGAGTCCATCTAATACTCGGCCTTAAGATTTACATTGAACTGCCCATATAGGACTCACCACTGTGATCTCTACATTGGGTCAAACTTAACATCTCTTAATGTTCGACGGCTTGTGCACCAGATCTTATTTATTCACGATGTATTTACAAAAAAATCCGCAGACTACCTGCTGGATCTCCTCTCTGTTTCAAAGAACAAATCTGACCTCAGGTCTTCGCTTATTTACCAGCTTCACATTCCCTATTGCCGAACAAAAACTGGAGGAAGGGCCTTTGATATTGCTGCCCCCAGGGTCTGGAATGCTATTGCCAATAAACTGCAACTTGAATCGCTACCAATGAGATCTCTCAAAACTGCTCGAGAGGAGTTGTACACCCCTAGCTGCCACTGCTATTCATTGGCGTAAAATAAAATAAAATGTTTCGCTCTGGATGACGCTGCAAAGTATTATCTGTATTTTGATTTAGCGTGCTGATCTTAAAGGTGCATTGAAAAATTTGATACTCCGACTGATGCTTCTGTTGTTGTGGAGTAACTCATGCAGCCAGCTATGGCTCTAGGATTTGGTGTTACATGTTATTTATGTAGTTTATTGTAAAAATTCGGTCAGTCCCTGTGATCACCGTTACGTCGCAATTATGGCTTTATTTTTTGGTGATTTGGAAAAGTTTTTGGTTTGGAAATGTTTGTTTTGTTGTAGTACGGAGTTAGACTGATGGCCTTAATCTAAGTTTTCTTGTTGCTGTTGTTTGACTTGCATCCCACTGGGATTTTTTTGCACACAGCGTTGGTGTACGGTGCTTTTTTCAGGAATATTTTGCTGTTTTTTTCATGGATTTTCTGTTTGCACAGTCACATAGTCACTTTAAGATGTTTTCTTGTTCGTGTTTTAGTTTTTTTTGTTTGTTGTGGCTGCACCCGATTCAAGAGCCGAATGGCTCACAGGGCTATATCAAAATAAATAAACTGAAACTGAAAACCGATGGTTGGGTATACGATTCCCAATTGAGCAATTTGCGAGCAATGTTTCAAATTTGTCAAATTTGGACCACGACGCCGGCACGCAGTGGCCTACTCTGTTTGGATGTCACGGGAGCTTTAACGTCCACTGTGAAGCACGTGATGCATATATTATGGTTTAATACACCCACGACGTTAACCAGGGTGGCCTACGGAATTCAAACCGCGAACCTCTGCAACATGTGGCAGACGCGTTTACAGCTGGCCCACGTCGCCGCCAAAATGTGCAGGATTGAGATGGATGGCAGCGGTTCTGGACTGCGAGGGATGGTGATGGCAGCATCCAGACGTGGATAGACAGTGGCTGATGAAGATGATGGTAACTACCTCAGAGGCTGTCTGCCAATGACCCCCCCCCACCATGCAGGAGCAGGGGCATGGTGGTGAGATATGGCCCAGCGTTAGCGCAGGGGTTCTTGCAGCGGTTTCTAGTGCAAACTAAACTTTTGATTTTACCACGTAAGGCCCACCACAGTACTATGTAGCACTTTTTTAGAAGTGACCTGGCCACAAATGATAACTCAATGAAGTCTTCTCTAAAAGCATGTTTCTAAATGTGGAGGGGGAAAAACCGGACGACCTGGAGAAAAATCCACACGATCACTGAGAGAACGTGCAAACTCCAAATATACAGGCATTAGGGGTCGGGATCAAACCAACGAGCTCCTGCATACCAGGCGAGATAGTTAACATCTCACCATTGCGGGTGTGTTAACCACAAAACACGAGGCACCATCTGCTTCACAATGGATGTTGAAGATTCCATGACGTCATTCAAAAAAGGCCATTGTGTGTCAAATGTTTAAATGTACCAGGTAAAATAGTAAATTGGGATTACACATGGCACCGTCGGCCCCTGCTGCTAACTACTGCAGACTTGTGTCTGTAAAGCATAATGCAAAAAACAAATGTACCAATGTACCTCTGGGCACCTGTGCAAAATAAGATGCTCCCACCTCAAGGGATTTTTCCCGGTGAAAATATCGCAATTAATGTATTTATCATTCACATCACCCAATGATTTAATTCGATGGGCGAGCGCCGAGGGCAGCCGCCGCACCTGATATCGCCAGCCAGGATGTAGACGGGCTCCGTCTTGCTGTCCAGGCTGGTGATGCTGTCCAGGGAGAACTGGGAAATCGTGTCGCTGCTGTTGTTGGACTTCTGCGTCTCTGGCGGCTGTGTGTGTGTCGGGAACAGACGGCAGTCGGAAAGGACACATCACGTGGTGGTCACAGCCACAGAGGACACCACAGTACGGTCGGTCGCAGAGTAGAAAAAGCGCCATTTGCTCACCAAAGATTTTTAACAAATTACATAAGCAGGGTAAATAAGCCTCCTTTTCCCCATATTTGTACCTCCATGTAACAAAAAAAATTACACATCCCATCTGCCACATGGCCTTTTGGGAATGAATGAATAATTTCATCAGCATTGGTGCAATACACGCAAACTAACATTTTGTCTTGATTTGAAGTTTTCGTGACTGCAGGAATCCACCCTTTGGTTCTTTCGGTAAAGTCACGTAGGCAGAAAATAAAATAAATCACGACGTTTCGGGCGCAACACAAGCGTCCACCTGATGACGGACGCTTGTGTCGTGCCCGAAATGTCGTGATTTATTTTACTTTATTTTATACCTATGTTACTTTACCGAAAGAACCAAAGAGTAACATTTTGTCATAAGCCATTATTTATTGTGTTATTTGTGAATATTTTTTGTGTTTCTTTCGGAGGAAAACGATTTTCTGCCTTCTAAAATGTTGGGCTGGGTGCGCCACACAGCTGTCAGTCACCCCAGAAGTAATTCAATGTGCGGACAAATAAACGTTCAATGTAAACTATAATAAAAGCGCAAGGCGCACGGTCAAGAGAGGAGGCTATTTTGTACCGATTGGATCTAAAACGTGATTGCTGCCATATGGGTAAATGAACAGCAATAAATGCGTGTTGAGAATGACAAAAGCTCCAATAAGCTTTTTTCGTATCGAAATGTATTTGTGCAAGTTGAGCAACTTGACGTCTTACTTCATTGATTTCACGTTCCGCTACATATTGATTTTACACCAATGTTGACAGTGTAAAACTGTTTAATTGGGCAAAACGAGAAGGACGCATACGTGTTCATCCCATTCGTATCAACATTTCACTGAAATAACCTAAACATTTTTATCTGGTGCCTATTTTACAAAAAAAGTCCTTTTCAATCCATTGGTTGGATGTAGGCCTCCCCACGCCCGCGTTGGACGTGGCGGTTGTGTGACCATACTGCACCACGCTGGTCAGTGCGGGTCAGGCCAGTGAAGCTGGGAGAAGGGGGCCCAGAACCGCTTCAGATATCACCCAGCGCTGACATCACCAGCGGACGAGACTCAAACGGGGATCGCCGCCGGGTTCAAAATCGAGGCGGCGCAAAACCACTGCTCCACCGCTTCACCCAAAATCGACCAAACGAGCGAGAACTTGAAAATCGGGTTAACATCGGCCCCTGCCAGACGACCGAGCCACTTCCGGGCCACTCAGCCCCCACCTCCACTTGCAGGTCGGCGATGTCGTCCTGCGACCAGGCCTCTTCGTCGGGGTCCAGCGTGGGGAGCGGGCAGAGGCGCAGCTCGCTCGCCACAGCCGGGCTGCTCTCGTCCTGCAGGCACTCCTCCGAGCGCGCCGTGCGGATCCGCGCCTCCGGGATTCGCGCCGGCACCACCGACCGCTCGAGGTCGTCGCACACCAGCACCTCCACGTAGATGAGGTAGGGGGCCTGCCGAACCGAGCGTGCCGTTAACAGGGCGCGGGGAAAAACGCGCGTCGCCGTGGGGATTCCGTGCATTGCAACGGGGGAATTACGAATCGGTGTGTTTAATTGTTTTTATTAAAAGACGCTTTCTAAACTAAACTATTTTTATTTACCAGGTAAGGCCCACTGAGCTGTAACGTTCTTTTTCAGAATCGACCTGGCGACAAATGAATGCTCACCCAAGTGGCTTATCACGTGTAAATGTTTTGCAGCAAAATATTCTGAACGCACGTTTCTAAATGCGGAGGTAAAAACCGGAGGACCTGGATAAAATATCCACGTGACCATGGGGAGAAAGATACACAAACTCCAAATATACAACTGGCATCAGGGTCGAGATCGAACACACGCACTCCTGTATTCCAGGCGAGGTAGTGAACATCTTGCCACCGTGGCACCCATGATTCACAATCGGTTTCTCTTGGGCTAGATCGTGTATGTATGTATGTAGGCCAACTTTTGACTGTAACCCTCCACCACCTGAAAGAGCCGATCAAATCAAGTTGTCGCGTAACGATAAAATATGCAAATTGATTTGGTTTATCGCACAAAGCCGGAGGAATGTTGAAAAGCCCAAACAAAAAATTTGGCAATGTTTACACGAAGTTTTCACTGGAGCTCACACTCAGCGTTTTCAGGCGTTTAACAAAAGCTCAGCTCGTTTTTCAACATTCCGGTTTTGCTGATAAAAACCTCATCAATTGGTACATTTTCCCACGGGACAACTTGATTTGATTGGCTCAGGCCCACCGGGTGATGGAGGGTTATCGTTGACAACTGCCATCATACCTCCACGACAATCTTTCAAAAGAATGTAATTATGAATCGCTCTCATCAAATTGTCCACTCCTATATCGTCATCAGGTATGGTGGGAAAAAAAACTCGTGCAGGTGTTCGTAGTTGTGCCGTGCAGCTCTCCGATGTCCGACGTTTTGCTCCACACGCTGGGAGATTCTTCAGTTCATGAGGTTCCTGAAGAAGCTCCCAGCACATGGAGAAAATCATCGTACGTCGTGCCAAACGGCATGCAATGTAACCTGAAACACGTTGGAGCTAAAAACATTCAAGTGCTAAGGGGACGATGTTGTGCAATTCCAATTGGGTACATTTCAAATTTGTCAAATTTGGACCATGACGCTAGGCACAGAATTGGCCTTTCTTTGAATAACAACATCACAGGATCTTTAACAACCATCTCTCATGGTCCTGTGATTCGATAATCCACCGAACACCCACCTATGAACCAATTTCACTGCTCTATCTCTGCTGTGTACATTTTCTCAGATATCTTGTCAAGTAACCATTAAATTTGACATTTACGCTCACGTTTACACGCGCAGAATTGTGTGTAAAAATCGTGTATTCATACAGATTATATGCAATGATCTACTGCTGTTACATTCAGACCAATGGAGCGTATAAAACCATACAAATGAGACAAAAAATACAATACAAATAAGATGGTGAATGTGAAACGAAAAGTAATTAAGCGTTGCATTTATACACAAACCTGTGTTGAGATGCTGGGGTGGGGGAAATCTTCACTTGCCGGGGATATAGTAATTCAATGTATAATTGATTAAAATGTATCCTTACACTTGGGATAAGTGCAGTCTCAGAGAATATATTCCTAATTAAGATTCTGATGCTTTGATTATAATTCCTAAATGTGTGTACACATTTTCCTGCACCTCAGATTAGCACGGTTGGCTACGTACGGTGAGAAAGAAGTTCAACATAAATAGATACACATACACAACCACGATGGATTCAGACCACAACAGATACCACATTAATGCTCATGACAAAGAATTCATTCACGTATATATTTGTAATGATCTGTTGTGAAATGAATCACGGAGATGGTTAATTGTCGCCACTCACCTAAACAGTGCATCTTTACTAAATAACTAAGCAGACAATCCCACCCCCTTCTCATAACCATCCCGCCACGCAAAAAATTAAGTATTTATTTTTCATTACAAATCCCATCCGCCACACGGCTTTCTCGGGAAGGATTTTTTTTTTCTCAGCTGCTTCTTTTATTTTGTTAAAATATTTTCTCCAGAACCGCGACGCAAATTATTGTGCATTGCATCGATACGGTCTCTGCCAACGACAGATACAAATTTAAAACCAGAACAGAAATAGGAATTATGCAAGCCAGCGGTGGGTTCCTGAGTGCTCGCGGTTGCGGCAATGAATGACCTAAGGGCTCCCTCACGCGATCCTCTCAAAGGGCATTGTTCCTGCTTTGCGAGCGCCACGGACAGATTAAAGGAACTGATGGCCAAGTCGGTTTGACCCTTGACCCGTTGGACAAAACAAGTCAAAGAAGGGCCCCGCACTCCTGAAATCCTTCAACCGCACAAGCCACCGGGATTGGCTCCGTCGGTCAAAACAAACAGCTGCTGCTGCGTAAGAAACAAAGCAGGAAGCTTGACATGCCCTGCCGTGCCGTTTCATTTCTACCAACAGGCGGTGGCAAAACCACAGCTGAGATGCTTACGTACTCACAGAACTGATGCAGGCCACACAGGGCCTCGGTGAATCTACTTACAGCTTCAATCTGCGAGCAGTTTCACCGTAAAATTATTCCAACACTGTGTGCAAGCCATGAGAAACTCATAAGTTATAGAAACGTGGGTGCAGGCCACGAACAAAGATGGTGACCGCATCATACGGCACTTTCAGATGTGCTTGTGCGGCCGTCTGGAACATTCTACCTTACAATATTAGGGAGCCACTGAGAGCTATGCACTTTTAAATCTAGATTGAAAACTGCTTTCTTTATAACTACTTTTTGTATTTAGTTTGTTGTCCTACCCCGCACCTCCGATTAGCGCGGTTGGCTACGTATGGTGCAAAAGAAGTTCAACGTACATATGTATTGTTCGATAAGATGTACCGACGTTCCGCTCCACGTACTGGGGGCTTTCTTCAGGAACCCAGCAAGTGAAATGAAACGTTGGACATCGTGCCAAAACAACAATACACGGCACAACTCAAAAACAGCGCTAAGGAGCATAAATACACACGACGGGGGATTTATATAAATTGTACGTACAGCACAGTGATGTCACGTGACAGAAATCTACCTTTTGCGTCTGTTATTGCTTTTGTTGGTTCAATCGTGTTTGCAGCCAGTTCGATGAATAAATAAACACAATGACCATTGGAAATTATAACAGCTTGCAACATACCAAGAAGTTACACTACCCACCCTTGCTTTCATGCAATAATTGGTACATACTTGTCATGTGATGGGTTCACGTGAGGCCACATCTGCTATGAAGTGCAATGTGGCACTTACAGATGGGACAATTCACCCTGTTAGCGATTCTACACTGTCACGATTTAGGGCCATTAAATCCAGAATGATTTAATTCTCTCATTATTATCATCTCATTTGTTGCCAACGGTGTTATTATGTGTGTGACATGGGCATATCGCACGCATGCGATTTGCATACATTGTAATTGATCCTTGCATGTAGGATCCAATGTATGCCCCATTAGCATATTAATCAATGTGAACCGAAGCATCGTTACAGGCCAGATGACGATCCACAATACACCAAAGACACCATATCTGCTTCTATTTTTAATATCTTTCTAGATAACCATAGGTCAGACACTGGACAAATTGGCAAAAGTCCCAATGGCATTCGCAAAACAATAATTGGCACCTTGCAGCGGTACATTTTTGCGCAACTATGTGCTCCGCCACAAAAAAAAAGAACGTGCACACCCACGCTCGGAGTTCCTGCGTCACTGCTAATTTGCACGCACACGGCGGAGACGAGAGCACCGCAGCTGCAGCGCCCGCGGTGTAAATGAGTGCGAGCAGCGCGGTCGGCTACGTCACCAGTGGCGGGGGGGAGGACGCCGTGCGTTCAGTTCACGAGCCAAGGCCGCTTCCTAGCCCGTAAGCACGGCAGGTTTTAAAACAGCGTAACCGCGCTCGCTCGTTCAGTGGGATCGCTCGTTCGCTCGTTCAGTGGGCTCGCTCGCTCAAACTCGATGAATTGCTTCACTGAGAACAAACACATGATGATGATACATCAAGAGCGTGTGTGATGTGTATGTGTACCCGTGATTGTGTGAAGTGGTGGCGTAGTGGTTAGTGCACTGCATTACAAACCTGGTAATCAGAGTTCGATTCCCGAGCAAAGGCTAACATTATTATTATTTAAACTATCGTTTAACCAGGAAAGCCTGACTGAGTCTCATGACACTTTTTCGGGTGGGTCCCACCAATTTGTCACAAAAGGGGCCGATGATTGTGATGCATATTCAAATTGAGCAATTGTGAGTAATTTTTTTACATTTTGGCAAATCTAGACCGTGACATCGACACACAATGGCCTACTCTTGCAAATTACATCATGGAATCTTTCAAATCCATCGTAAATCAGCAGGCACATGTATTTATTACGGATGATACACCCACAGTATTAATCAGGGCGGCCACTGGATGCGAACCGTGCACCTCTGCAACAAGCGGCGAACGCACCGCTGCCCGGCCATATCAGTGACATCGCAACCCGGTCCAGGGCCTCCCTGAGGTTGATCAAGCCTGAGAAAGAGTACACGTTGCGGTGTGTAAACATCAGCAATGGGGGAGACAAAGGCGGCCGGTCGTGGCATTGGGCCACCACTACTCCTTCGTGCGCCTTCATAGCTGCACGCGCGTGCGAGCGAGCATCACACTGTACACTAATTCTGGGGGAAAGGCAATATTTTACGGCTGTAATATTCCACGACCACGCGCAATGGGTTATCCCCATTTGCAGGTGAAAGGCGGGGGGGGGTGGTTGCTGTCATTGGTTAGAATGTGCTTATTACGTACTTATTTCCTTGTTCACCCATGCAGTACCGATGGGATTATCGCAACGTGGCGAGCCGCTCATAAAATTCCACGCAGAGACGCGACGTCGCAGAAAGCAGGAGATGTTTTAATTATTCACAGGGCGCAGCACCTCCTCGTACGACGACACACGAGTCAAATTGCCCAAAAAACAATCTGCGCACCGCACGGTGCGGTCGATAACAACGGCCGTGATGACGGAGCGTCACGAGACACGGCAAGGAAATCCTCGCCGTGTCTCGTGACGCACACAGAGGGCGGCTAGACCCGTACGTGGGCAACTTCAGTTGCTACCAATCACCACAGATTACCAGGAAAAGTAAAAGCCACGCATGCAGGGGGCCCCCACACACAACCGCGTTATCTAATGTCACAAGCAAACATTTGTCTGGCCCTGCCTCTGTTGGTCTACACCTTTGTCTCCGGAGATGTGTTGCAATGGACCGTGACTAAAGCGAAGGTACAGTCTACGGGGCCTGCAGGCACACGTGGCAGCTCACGACTCCCTCGACTCTGAGCGAGTACAAGAGCCAGATTTGATTCTGCCGGAGCCAGCACAAGCGTTGCAACTCTTGGCTCGTCCTTCATCATCATCATCAGCCGTGTTCAATCCACTGCTGGACGAAGGCCTTCCTATTTCTACGAGCCGTTGCCAGCTCTCGCAGTCCGGCGGATGCAACAATGCATCTAGCAGAGTGGTCGGCAACATGCAGCTCCTTAAGGACTGCTTCGTGACGTTATTTATTAAGGACCACCACCGTCTCGTAGTCACCATTTGCATTTAAATATTTAGGGTTTTGTTACCGAATGTGACAAAAACGGCTCTTGTTATTTTGGTTGCCTACTCCTGATCTAGTGCCTGCACACGAGCCGATTTCACCGCTCCATCTCATCGATGAACGTACTTTCTCTCCTTTGGCTGCTGCCCCGACATTAGTCTTGACCACCGGCCATGATCCCTTCTAGCGGCGGGTTTCATTCATGTCCACTCGCTCGCGCATTATTCTTGATGGTCTCTAACTTTTTTCATTATTTGACTTCTCTCATTAAACAACTTCATACAACGCCACGAAACAGTTTTCAAAATCAATCGGGAGGACGACTGCAGAGCGCTAAGGTGTGCGATCCCAACCAAAAAACGCAAATTGCCCGCCCGATTAATCAAGCGAGACATCTTGCCCCATTAACTATTAACGAACACAATATTCCACCTTAGCTTTCACTGCAGGCGAGGCACACATGCAACAGCACTAGACTGTTCAGTGAAAAAGTAAAAAAATGTATCCCACAAAACATTGAGTGGGCCACACCCATTCACACACACGCGCACACATATTGCAAACAGCCAGCACACACACACACACAGATGCACAGGCTGACTTATGCAACTGAGCGTGGAATTAGGTGGGAGTTCATGACAAATTGTTATAACACATCGATTCATTAACCTATAACGATTCCTAAAGGTTCACAATACATGCATCCCATTGTGGAAGCAATGTTTTCAGGTGTATGCAAATCGTTTGAGTGCAATGTTGTGCAAATGAGATGGAAAAAAACGAGCTGTAAAAACCAAGGAGGTGGTGAAAATTAGACGACCGAAAAGGAATCGATGTTTCAAATCAAACTGCAACCCCAAATGATGACAATTCGTGAAAATCACTCCAAGGGGCAACGGTAAATAGTTCCGTACTCATTAAATACTATTCAAGATGAATGCACGTATGTTGAACTTATTTTGCACCGTACATATCCAATCGTGCTAACAGGACGTGCAGGGGAAAAGACGACAAACTAAAACCCCCCAAACAATAATGTAACATTATTGTGCACTCGGCCACCAACGTTACCTAGACGTGGAAAAATGTGTCCCCTCTCCTGATGGATTTGACACACTGCGTCAGTCGTGACAATTTATCCGCGCTATTCAGCAGCAGCATAAGACGGCGTTCTTCAACTCGAGCCTGATGGGCCGGATGTGGCCAGCAAATGCTACTGAAGTGCCCCACCAAGCTATAATCGACCAAGAGGAATGGACCACGTAGAGATAGGGATCAGCGAGATGAAAGAGTGATACATAAGAGATGCATATGAGACAGCTGGAGACGAGAGGGAGATACAAAACGGAGACGATGGGTGCTTTTGACAAGAGCTAAATATCGGTGAGATTAAGGGGGTGGAGATGAGAAATAAAAATCGGTGGTCGCACGTACAGGCAAGTCACCGTGGTGACGCCACGATGCCACGTGGCGTCATAAGATGGAGAGACAGTGACCAGGGGCGGAACCAGGATTTTGACCTTGGGAGGGCTGACTTCAATATTCTGAGATATCCAGTGTTTATGTTTTCCAATGGGCGCCACAAATATATAAAACATTTTTTTTATTGGATTTGAACGCGGAGTTTATTAATAGGTTGGAGCCGCTGATGCGGCTACTAAGATCGAAAAGCTGCCGCTCAAGCAGCCTGCAGGGCAGCACAAGGTGGCAGCCTGCAGCATTTTGCAGTAGCCGGATATCCGGTTATCCCGATTACTGACTTTCCCAAAATTTCAGGGGGGGGGGGGGGCTAAGCCCCCCCAGCCCTCCCTGTGGCTGTGCCCCTGACAGTGACACATGACGTCGGCGCACATTAATTTGACCGCGGACGTCTAAAATACTGTCGAAGAACCCTGGCGTAATGAACCAGGTCGGGCTGAAAGGGAGGGGAAGAGGAGAGGGGGGGGCGGGGGGGGACATACCTTGTCCTTGGAGTTGAGCACGATGGTCTGCGTGTGCGGGATGCGCACGATGTGGTGCGGGAAGGACGCCGTCGCGAGCCACACTCGCGCCGGCAGCGTCAAGTTGAGCAGCGACAGCTCGGCTATCAGCCGCTGCGTCTTCTGCTCCTTGGTGGGCAGTGACACTAGGCGCTTGCCGATCGCCATCAGGGTCTGGATGAACTCCCGCTCCGGAGCCAAGCGTGCCGTTTGCTGCGACGCGGCGGACATCGGACAGGACGCGGAAGAGAGGACGCGACGGTTAAAAAAATAAAAGTCACGTTGGGATCACGCCGCACTCGTCGTGGGATGGGTGTCACGATTACGAGGGCATCAGTCGGTTATCGATTACCACGGTTTGGTTATGGGTTAGCACGGTCGGCTTCGTACGGTGCGAACGAAATTCAACATACATGCATGCATTCCCGATAAATGTTTTTGGAATCGATTATTGATTCGAGCTACAGTAAAACCTTGGATTGCGAGTAACTTGGTCTGCGAGTGTTTTGCAAGACGAGCAAAAAAATAAATATGAATTTGATAAACGAGCGAGGGTCTTGCAACACGAGTAGTACGTGTAGACGCTTTGTCTGCCGAGCGTCACGTGATCACAACTGATATACGAGTGCTTTGATATACGAGTGCTTTGGATTACAAACACGTTTCGGAACGAATTATGCTCGCAATACAAGGTTTTACTGTATATTGCTCTTTTTCATAGGCGACCTGGCCACAAATGAAAGCTCAACGAAGTGGCATATCACGTGGAAAACGTATCACAGCCAAATACTCGAAACGCACGTTTCTAAATGTGGAGGTAAAAACGGGAGAACCCGGAGAAAAATCCACGTGCCACAGGGAAAACATTTAAACTCCAAATATACAGCAGCAGTCAGGGTCGGGATCGAACCCACGACCTTCTGTATACCACGCGAGTTGGTTGACAATCTCGCCACTGATTGCCTATTGTGAACGTTCACACCGCGCGCTCGAACGTGATTGGCCAGCGGCAGCCTTCGTAAGACATCAAGCGGCAGGGCTCGTCATCGGTCGCTAAAGATTTGGTTAGGCACAGAAAACCAACAATAGATTATTACTTATTTGGCCTGAGATTACCGATGGCGCTAAAGCGCTGAAATTAATAACCCCAATTATGATGTGCAATTTCCTTGACCAAGTGATTCTAAAGCTCAAGGTACATGCATTCAATCTTGTGTATTATAATTGGTATTTCTTGATTGGTTGTTGTTTGACCTTACTTCACCACGCAGGCCAGCGCGGCCTCGGGTTGAGGGTGCCCCCAAGGACTGGTTCAGATATCGCTCATCACTGTCGTTCCGTGTGGCCGGGAATCAAACTCAGGTTCAGCGGGAAGGCCTTCATTACTACAGCGGATTGACAAAGGGCTGTACAATATAACATGGTGTTTGTGATGGGTCGGCTCTTCAAGCCACTAGAGGCCGCTACGTTAGAAACATGAGTGTAAAAAAAGAGCGAGACCTAAAAAAAATCGATTCTCTAATCTAACACGCCCCTGAAACGCAAAGATTCGTCGATTCACTCCACAAGGGGGTACACAGTGAGCAATCTTGGGTTACGGACGAGGCTGCCGTCAGCTGTTCTTGGTCACAACATCGACAGGATGCAAACATTCACTGAACAATCAATTAATGTGTTTTTATATAGCACACTTCACATCCAGAGGACTGTCTGGTGCCCCTCTCAAAAGGCTACAACCATCTTGCTTGAGAAAACCCACAAACAGAGGACTAACATAATTTATGCTGCCCTCCCAGCGTTCAGTTACCCTGCGCCCCTCCACGTATGCTACTGCCTGCTTTGCAATCTGGGCAACCGACAGGATGGATTGCGTCAGAGCTATACCCAGTTTTTCCAGTTGCTCGCTCGGCTGCGTGCGCATAATAGCCTGCAACGGAATGGTGTGGGTTTAAAAATAAAAACAGTGCTATGTCAAACACGCCCCGCCCGATTTCAAGAGTTCAGTTCGAGGCTCCTTTTGTACAAACGCAATATTCTGACGTGCGCTCGCGGGCGCACGCACAGTCGAAAGCCCATACGTAATTTGTCTGAAATCGTGCAGCACATTCTGCATCTGCTGCGACGCGCAAAACCTCGATGCAGTGGCGGCGTGGCTCCCCATATCAGAGCACTCGCCAGCCATGGATGAGAGCCTGGGTTTGAGTCCAGGTACGAGCCGCCCGTGAAAAAAAAATCCGGTTTCATAAGTATGACGCGTCGATGGGTCTCAGCCCTGTCGCCACTGACTGCGCGAAAACAAGCGACCATAAGAACCTTATTTCAGCCCAACTCCAGCTCTGAGAAGTGGTTTCACTGCAGAGCGGAGAACACCTCTGTAGACGTCAAATAGTCCGTCCCGATTTCCTGCTCAAATGAGCATTGAGGCAGTGCTTATCTCATATTTACAGCCCATGAGCCGGTGCTGGAAATTTCACATTCCTATGGGGGGGGGGGGGGGGGGGGGGGGGTGGTGAATCAATCCATATGACAACCATGGTTGACTTCCCTACAAAGCAGTACACTCCCTTTATCGAACCTAAGAAGATGGTGAGCTGAGTCGACCCCCCCCCCCCCCCCCAACAATCATTTGAGCCCGCAACCTTCCATATGTGCGATCCGCTTGCTCCACCGTACTGAGCCACCTGTATGTAAGCAGGGCGTGTGGGAAAGAGTTTCCCATCAAGTGCGTGAAGGGGTCTCAGCGGAAGTTCTGGTGTTCACATTTCTGCGGGCCCTTCTTGAACACACGAGGAAATTCGCTGCCCTCCGAGATATCAAAATGAACGGCTCATCTCGTGACCGCACAAAATTGCAATCAAATTGGGGAAAGGGGATTCGTTTTTTTTTACGGTAAAGCATGTGGCAAACATTCACGTCCCTCACCTTTCACAACTGGACTGGTGATAACAAGGGCTAGCGCTGAGGCAATGGCTTCGCCGCTAAGTGATGCATGATCACACCTGCCATGCCTGCTCCCAACGGTGGCATTAGCATGATCGTCTTTTCCCCAGCGTAATTTACATATTTACTACAGCAGGTCGCCCACTTATGAAAAAAATTACCGACATTAAATGCTGGAGTGTAAAAAATGCAGAAGGAGGCCTTGCGCTTGGTTGGGCAATGCATGGCAATTCTCATTGTGAGTCATATAATTATCAGCATTGCCGAACCCTCCGCTTGCATCAACCTCTGACTTGCGAACACACCCAAAGGTATAGGAGGCTCCTTTTAATAGCTGCTTGGCCTGTTGTGTTTTATAAGCTTTTTATTTGTGTTCCCTTCAAACGTAGGCTTTATTGGACAGTACAATGATCTGGAATTGTTGTTGCTTTGGCCACGTGATTCAAGGCACAGTGGTACTAGGCACCTACATGTCTAAGCACGCATGTTCATGCAACAACTGCGTTATTCGAAATTGTTTTAAGCAAGCAAGGGGGTGCATAGTCCACAAGTGACAAATTCTCTGCACGGTCATGAGGCTATAAACAATCAGCAATCGCTCAACCTATGCATTCATTACCATTATTTTCTCAGGGAGGCCAGAGTTCTGAGCAAGTAATGCTGAGATCCTGAGTAAGAAACTGGGCAGCTGCCTGTGTTTAAACCGGGTTCTCAAGTGCAATAAACTGATGTGTTCAGCTCGGTCACACCAATGACTACATACACAAATATAAAACATTTGACTAAATTTCAGCTCTGAGAATAAAAAAAAAATCAGATTGACGGACATGTCATAAGCAATACTCTCTGTAGCAATGCGGGTGGGAAAGTGATATCCCCGCGTGTGGATAAGAGATGATTTCCAGAGCTATCACAAGTAGTTCTGTGATATCCTCCTTCCTGCAGGCCATTCTCCAACACAGGGGTGACGCACTATTCTGGTGGAGCACCGAATGGATTCTTTGTCTCCGTGAATTGATGCCGATCCCGACAGTGGACGGAAAGGAACAAAGCTAGATAAATAAATGATACTCTCTTGATGTCCTTAACACACGTCACAAGAGCCAGTGGTCGGGAAGCTGCGGCTCCGGAGATGCAAACGGCTCTAAGAACTGCACGTGGCTCTTTCGGGACTGCACGCGGCCCTTTAAGGACTACACGCGGCTCTTTAAGGACTGCACTTGGCCCTTTAAGGACTGCACGCGGCCCTTTAAGGACTGCACGCGGCTCTTTAAGGACTGCACTTGGCCCTTTATGGACTGCACGTGGCCCTTTAAGGACTGCACGCGGCCCTTTAAGGACTGCACGCGGCCCTTTAAGGACTGCACGCGGCTCTTTAAGGACTGCACTTGGCCCTTTAAGGACTGCACGTGGCCCTTTAAGGACTGCACGCGGCCCTTTAAGGACTGTACGCGGCTCTTTAAGGACTGCACGTGGCTCTTTAAGGACTGCACGCGGCCCTTTAAGGACTGCACGCGGCCTTTTAAGGACTGCACGTGGCCCTTTAAGAACTGCACGTGGCCTTTTTAAGGACTGCACGCGGCCTTTTAAGGACTGCACGTGGCCCTTTAAGGACTGCACGTGGCCTTTTTAAGGACTGCACGCGGCCTTTTAAGGACTGCACGTGGCCCTTTAAGGACTGCACGCGGCCCTTTAAGGACTGCACGTGGCCCTTTAAGGACTGCACGTGGCCCTTTAAGGACTGCACGTGGCTCTAAGGACTGCACGTGGCCCTTTAAGGACTGCACGTGGCCCTTTAAGGACTGCACGTGGCCCTTTAAGGACTGCACGTGGCCCTTTAAGGACTGCACGTGCCCTTTAAGGACTGCACGTGGCCCTTTAAGGACTGCACGTGGCCCTTTAAGGACTGCACGTGGCCCTTTAAGGACTGCACGTGGCTATTTCGGGACTGCACGCGGCCCTTTAAGGACTGCACGTGGCTCTAAGGACTGCACGCAGCCTTTTAAGGACTGCACGCGGCCTTTTAAGGACTGCACGTGGCCCTTCAAGGACTGCACGCGGCCCTTTAAGGACTGCACGTGGCTATTTCGGGACTGCACGTGGCCCTTTAAGAACTGCACGTGGCTCTTTAAGGACTGCACGCAGCTCTTTAAGGACTGCACGTGGCTCTTTAAGGACTGCACACGGCCCTTTAAGGACTGCACGTGGCCCTTTAAGGACTGCTTCGTGACCCTTTAAGGACTGCACTTGGCTCTTTCGGGACAGCACGTGGCCCTTTAAGGACTGCACGCGGCTCTTTAAGGACTGCACGTGGCTCTTTAAGGACTGCATGTGGCCCTTTAAGGACTGCTTCGTGACCCTTTAAGGACTGCACATGGCTCTTTCGGGACAGCACGTGGCCCTTTAAGGACTGCACGTGGCTCTTTAAGGACTGCTTCGTGGCTCTTTAAGGACTGCTTCGTGACCCTTTAAGGACTGCACGTGGCTCTTTCGGGACTGCATGCGGCCCTTTAAGGACTGCACGTGGCCCTTTAAGGACTGCACGTAGCTCTTTAAGGACTGCTTCGTGACATTGTTCACGTGCGTTGTACAATGGCTCTTGAATTATTGAGTTTTTGTTACCGAATTAGAAAGAAATGGTTCTTCTTGTTATTTTGTTTGCCAACCCCTGCACTAAGCCCACTCAGGCACTTCCAAAGCGGAACCTCACACTGTGCCGAGCACCACATGCCGCGTTACCACACCGTTACCACACCGTCACCACACCGTCAACAATCCAGTGTTGCGTCACACACACGCGCACACCCAGGATGGAACATTGTTTGAAGAGAGAAAACAAGAAAAAACGAATTGTTAAAAGACCCCAGACATATCTTATCCACCATAGAATTCACTCTACTTACTAGCCTACTTACAGAGCCTTCCTGCGCGGGACCCACGTCATCCTAAAAACAGGAAAATTATTTGATACGTTACAAATTGACAAAGCATCAACCACATCATTACCCCATTAAGGAAACATGTATAACATTAATTAACCAGAATTTCGAATGTTTGCTTTGGCTTACTGCGTATGTATATTTATATACACGAGGAATTCATGTTGCCCTGATGTAATACTAAAAATCACAAACTCATTATTGCTTTGTTTCTAGTTATTTTTCTGTAACATCCAATGCATGTATTCTACGTTTCTTTAAATGCTTCGCGAATACGCTGCATACGATCTAATACAAACACAAAAAAAAATATTACATTTTCAGTTTTTATCCAAATGACAACAGCCTGCCAAAATCAAAATTGTGGAGGGAATTGATCTCACATTAATTACTTGAAAATATACAGCCAGCGACGGGAGCCATTTTAATTGGAAAATTACACATTCACAGAGCATATCTCCTGCAGGAGTACAGGACTCTCTTAGGTTAACTCGGACAAAATATGCGGAGAATTGGCAGTGTTTTAACACTGGAACCAGAAAGACAATGGTGGTTGCACGTGCATAGTGCTAGCACCGCAACCGCTGGCCTCTAGCTCATGTGTGTACGCCTGAAGCCCTTGTTGTCAATCCACTGCTGGATGAGGGCCTCCCCACGCTGTACGGATTGTGGGGGCTATTTGGCCAAACCTTTACCACGCTGGTCAGCGCGGGTTGTTGAAGCGTGGGGAGCGTAGAGACGGGAGCATTAAGCACATGATAACAGCTAGCTGTGCAGCAACGTTTTTAATAAAACACGATTCAACGTGGAAAGCAATAGAAGAGGAATTAAAGAATTAACAATCAAGACACCAACAACTGCGTTTAAAAATCCCAGTAAGAGGAAAGATTGTAATCTTCACGAATCAGCCCAGGGGGGAGAGGATTGCACGCGATCAGCCCAACGCGAACACGATTGGTGGGGAAGGAAGAAGGGGGGGGGGAGAAAAATAAAAACCCTCCTACAGCCGCGGTTGTAAGCACAGCCCTCCCCGATCATCAGAGGGGCAAGGGGTGGATTCACGGGGTCAACAATGGGATCAAGTGCTCCCTGCTGTTTGCAACAGTGGGTAAAATAGGGCAGTCATCAATCAGGCCCCACGGCGCGCACAAGCGCTTTGTAACGTGGGATCTTAACGCGGGCCAACGGTGGAGGAGTCGCCATCTAACGATTTCCCTCTCCTCGCCTCCGCTGCGCTGCGATGCGACGGACCGTCGCGACTCGGCCCGTCGCAATCGGAGGCGAGAATCGCCTCGTTTGTAACCGTCTTGCTTGTTACAGTCCGTTAATGGTGCCGTCTTGCTTTTTCAAACTCGTTCGCTCAATTGGCCTAAACTCGGGGTGGGGAACTTACGACCAGGCCAACGAGACAGACACAACCCGCAACTTCGTTTTACGGGGGTAGTGGCCCAATTAAGGAAATGGCCTTCATTCATGGACTATGAAGAAGGCCCATTGCCTGACAAGTTGCCTATTATGTATATTTTTTTTAAAGCAGTGTTATTGCCGAATTTGTTGGGTTTTTTTTATTCTGAGCACATAGTCAATGAACACGGATCTAGTGTGACCAAAGTTTATCATCACCTTATGTGTGGCCCGTCAAAGATTTTAGCAAATCGGATTCAGCCCTCGGTAATGAAAAGGTCCCCAACCCTTGGTCAAGACGCTTGCATCATGAGTGTAAGAGTCAATTTAAATTGACAAAAGAATTAATGAATCGTTAAATGCCTTCGAAGCAGCACTGGCCCCACTGAGTTGCCCTGCCCTGATCTCAACGTTGGATCCACCCCTGCGCAGAGCGACGCTGCTCATCCACGCAGAGAGAGAGAGAGAGCTACGAGGGGGAGGAGAAATACCACTAGCAGCTTGCCCAGAGAGCCCACGCGAGAGCCAATAGCCAAGACCAACAAGGCAATAACAGGGGTCACTTACGGACATCTCACACTGTTGCGAGCCTTCCTCTGAACGAGACAAAACTTCCACACACTGGATGGACACACACCGACAAAAGCAGTGCACAAAACATCACGGCAGCCCCTCCGCCCGTTCCCCAGCGGTGCACAATGCCGCGTCGCGTGCATCTGATGTCGTCCCTGCAATGCGAGCTGCACGTGCAGTGGCTTTGAATTGGCAGAGCTCACGGTGCTCGTGGTGCCACTCAGCCGAATAAGACTGAAATGCTTTAACAGTGGCTGAGTCTCAGCCGCTCGCTCATAAACAAAGTTCTTGAGTGATGCGAGATTGATAGTCTCGGTTAGGTCTCCAATTGCTGCACAGAAAATGCATTGTTAACCGATTTTTTTAGCAAATCTGGAAAACAAATTTGACAGTCATGCGATGAACGCATCTACAGCAAGGCGTGTGGAAAATTGCAGTGCCCACAGGCCAATAGAAGACACCTCAGAAGTAGTTCTGTAATATCCCCTTCCACAGACCATTCTCTAACATAATGCACTAATGTGAGGGAGTTCCAAATGAACACTTTGCTTCATGGCATGACACAGATAGCACAAGTGAACTTAAAATGGAGCAATTAAAAAACGTAAGTGAGTGTACTGTGGAGGGAAAGGTTTGTATTGGCATGGCTATTGGACTGCTTGTCGAATGCTTCAGGGCTCGCATCATTCGAATCACAAGCAGGGTGTTCTCACCAATTCAAGCTCACACCATAACCATACAACTTCACCAAACATCTCATTATCGGCGCTGTATACATTTTATGAAATTACAGACGTGCGAGGCTGCGAGACACTGCGAACATGACCACGTCATAATAACACCTTTGCAACGCAGCTCATTAGCCGCTGCGTTTCGAATTAACGGAGTGTGAAACTGTGGCCGCGTTATATTTTAACAATTCGCTGCAACGCAGATCGCAAAGCACCCGGGAAATTAAAATAAAAAAATAGCACATCACCATCATCGGGGGCCTAAAGAAAGTCCTCTTTGTTTACCGATTAGCGTGACGCTCTATCTGCGTCATAACCACGTCCCTCGAACCCAGGGGTCCACGACCAAAATAACAAGAGGAGCCTTTTTTTTACGAATTCGGTAAAAAAATAAAACCCCCAATATCTCACGAGCCGCAATGCAACGTGAATAAGAGACGGTGCTCCTTCATATAAATAACGTCACGTAGCAGTCCTTTAAAGAGCCGAATGCGGCTCTGGAGCCCCGGTTTGCCGACTCCTGCTCTTGCCTTTCATCAAAAACGCATGGTGCCGCAGACATTGGCACCGCCTGGGCAAAAACTCGTTTGGCAACGGGGGGGGGGGGCGGATGGACTCACATCATCCTGCTGGGCTTCCACCTTGGGGTTGCTCGAAGTGCGGTGAAGGCCTCCCAGGGGGCTGATGCTGACGGTCGCGTCCGACTTGGAGCGCTGGTGCGTGCGCTTGCTGGGCGAGCTTGCGCAGGCCGCGGTGGGGGGATAGGGGGGGCTCGGAGGGTGCAGCGCCGCGCCCGTCTTCACCCGGCCCCTTCCGAGGCCTGCGTCATTTTCAGGACGCGACAGGAGAAACTCGGTTACCGCTTGCTCGCCGTACAACCGAGATGCGACGGGGGAACCACGTCGGGTAAAGCGCGGCGGCGGCAGCGGCGGCTCGGGAGGTGCGGGCGTTGATTTTCTACTGCATAAACCAAGCCGTGCCGACGACGTCACGACGCGATAAATGAGTCGAGACGCGTCCGAACCTGGCCCCTTACTTGGTCCCAAGCCAATTTGAAACATCTTGTGAGAGCAGAGTATCACGATTTGGTTGGGACACGGCATGGCAAATAGGCAGTGTGGGGAAACCACGTGCTATTTGTGAAGGCCCCACACTGGCTTGGCTCAGATGTGCCAGTGGAAGTGGTGTAGACGTGTCTCTCTCTGCGACTAAACGTGTATGGAGTTGATCAGTATCTCCGATACAGGCTCACAACGCCCCAAGGCAGGTGTTAATGCACCCCAATGTGTGTATAACTACAGTTGGCTAAGGCACAAAAAAATCGGAACTGTGCCTTGCTGTGATTTAATCAGCAAAGGACATCCGTCCTTCATGTGTTACTGAAAATGAAATGCACAAAAACAAGCTGCTCTTATTTTATAGATATGTACCCAAACTGAGTGTTCCTATGAGTTTCAAGACACATTAATAAAAATAAGACGCAAGTTACAATCATATTTTTCATCATCAGCCATGGTCTATCCACTGCACGATGGATGGCCTCTCCAAGGCATTACCATCTCTAAAAAATCCACGTAGCTCCTACACGTGAAATTATTTTATCGCTTCATCTTTGCAGTAGGTATCCTATCGTTCACATTCCCTCTTTAAGCTGTCACTCCATCATTAATCTCCACCACCGGCGATCGTCCCTTCGAGCGATGTGTCCTGCCCAAGCCCCACAACTTTTCTTTAAAAGTCAATACGACGTCGCTAACTTGCGTATGTTCTCTGATCCATGTGTTCCTCTTCCTGTTTCTCAGAGTCACTTGCCACGCTGTGATTGAGTGTCCTGTTAATCTGGTAAGAACAGCCCACTCATCGGTGTACAGATATGAATGTGTTCTCCACAAAAAATGCCAACTGCAATGTCATGAGTACAATCAGACCTGCACTAAAAACACATTTAACAACACGACACAAGAAAATTGAAGAAATCAGCTACTTCTCAAGATTTGTTTCCAAATATAATAACATACTGGGCTATACTCCAGCGGAATCTATGTACAATACAAATATTAGTTTAAATGCTTCTGTTCATTGGAAAAAGCATTAATCATCCAAAGGTAGACAAGCAACGATCCGAGTTCGATTCGCGGCCACGGCTAACATCAGTGGCGAGCAATATACGACCCGGTCCTGAGTGGCCCCTTCACCAACCCCGCACAGACCGGCTGGTGAAGTACGGCCCAACAACCCCTATGATCAACGAGGCCTCGCCCATCACTGACCGGACAACAGGCTGTAAAGAATAATAACAGCAACAATCGGAATAATCACCGTCACAACCGTTTACCAATGCGCACGGCTCTTACCGGACGGCGCCACCGGCTGGCTGGCCGCCGCCGGCGGCGCGAGTTCGTCCGCCAGGATCAGTCGCCGCAGCTTGGTCCCGCGCGAGTGCCGCTGGCGTGCCGGGGCCGGCCTGTCGAACGACAGCGCGCCCAGGAGCCACGCGCACCGCAGCGCGAAGTCGGGGCTCCGGCGGCAGCGGTGCACCAGGTACGGCTTGACGGCGTCGCCCGTCTCCTCCGAGCCGTGCAGGTACATGGTGAGCAGCTGCGGCAGGTAGAAGTCCGTGGCCTCCGTGGGGAAGCTGAAGAGCCGATTGCCGAGGTAAGCCTGAACGCCGGGCTCCTGTGGGGGAGCAAGCCACGGTTCAACGCGGCGCGAACCTTGAAGGGTTGAATCATTTAAGCTAACCATTTAGAACTCCTTCTCCTTGGTCGATCCAGATTGGATTGCGACTACACAGAGCAGCAATCATCACCCCACCCCCCTCCTGGGAGGTCTAATACCCGCTTGCAGACCAGGTGTGCTGCGTCACGTTGTGCTACACACGGACCAGCTGTCACTTGGAGTGCACTTTCAAACGTGCCGAGATGAAATGCAAGTCGCTTTTTTCCACGTGTAAAGTGCTCTCGGACACCCTGGCGAAAAGGTCACTCTATCAAAAGCAAATTATTATTATTTATACAAAGGGCCTTGGGCCCCACAAGAATGCCAAGGGACTTCCTGGTGCTGCCTTGGCTGTGTGTGAGACTGCAGTTGCTTTGACCCCAGTCTGTGCTGCCCATATTGCTCTCTCAACTCTCTCCCACGTGTTCCTGCCCTGACTCCCACCACCCCCCCCAGCACTTATACCCTCATGTAGTTTTCCACCTTTGTAAAGAGTCTTAACATTGCCTCAAAAAAGAAAATAACTCAAGAGGCTGACGTTTCGGTGCAATGGTCCTTCTTCAAAGCCAAGACCCTCGGATTTTTTTTAAGCAGAGCCTTTACAGTGTCAATGACAAACGTGGTGAAATGTTTTGCTTTTTTTTTGCTTATTCACCATATTCATCAAGCGTGTAGATGACACTTTTTAGATTGTTTGCTTTGCATTTCGCAACATGCAATAAAACATTACAAATTCTACCCTACCCAACATGAAAATGGATTTGTCAATCGGTGAGTCAATCTGTCAGCCACAGCACTCGAGCAATCGATGAGCCACACGTTAAACCTTTAACCTACATTGTTGGAAGTGTGATCAAATTCTTTCCCCAAGTTAATCTCAGCTAGTAGTGGGAAATACTCAACTTATTGCCCACTTTTATTTTTTATGAGTTTGGAACAATTTAGTTAGTGCCTTGAGTACCTTGTAGAAAGTTAAACATTATTTCTATTTACATATTTACAAAAATGTATCCCAGGAAACCTGATCTGTCCCTTTTCATTTGTCGTGCAGTTTCATCAAAGGACGTAGGTTTAAAAAAAGAGAAACCCCATCGATGTAAATGGCTGTGGTCACTTGATTGTGAGTAGCGAGATTCCCCGGTATCAAGTATCTAAGCCAACACCAACACGCATGGTTGCAGCGGGTCGGGGGCTGTTTACATTTCAACTCATAACGCTTACGTCACCGAGCGTTCACGAAACACGAGTGTTCAAACAGCGTCGTTGTTGTAAGGGGCCCAATGTATGCTCTCTCCATGGGAACATCAACTCCTCCAGCAACAATGCAATGTGGTTTTATATGGAGCCTACATGCGACCGATGCTCAAGATGCGATACAGAAACAGCATATTCATTTCACAGCGACAGCGGGGTCTCTCTACCCACGTCTATTGTTCTCTCTGCGAGTTGATGGATCTGTGTGCGAGTCGAGACAAAGTACAATTTAAATGCCAGCTGAATGCAACCGCATCTCAAGACGCTGTACAGAAACGATGGGGATATATATATTTTATGGAGAGAACGTGGCCGTCAGTCACAGGCAGAGGGACAAAGGAAGGACTTGAGCCTGAACTTGAAAAAACAGGGGCGTGCAACCACCCACAGTGACCACATTGATAGGACTTTTAAAATAACTTTCTATACTGCCTCAGAGGCAGTTATACGAAGGAGACAACTTCACAGTCAAAATTCTAAATAATGGCAATCATAGATATTCAGTGTCATTTTGAAAATTAGTAGCTGTAGTTTGTTAAAATATGAGTTTGTAAAAGTCAATGCTTTGAAACGTACGCACGATTGAATGCACTATCACCACCACAGCTTGGATGATGAAGTCAGTTTTCCTGTGGACGTACGCCACCGTGGTATTTAACGAGCACATCTCCCTTATCGGTAAATGTGGACGAATCATTAGTAACATGTATGTTTTCACCGCCAATATTACAATTTAAGGCTGATTCTTGGGTTGAACATGTAATCCAAAAATCAACTATGAATCCTATTTCTATTCAAACGACAGTCCGAATGGGCTGACATACGACAGCGCACTGAAAAGCCACTACACCACGATACTTACGAATACCCGCAGCTTTAAAGCGCCTCACACGTACGTCCGAAATCGTGAAACTACCCTTGAATAAAAAAGTTAAAGACCGACCACCATCCCCCACCTTCGAGCTGTGTAGGTAGGATATGGCCATGGAGACGTCGAAGAGCTTCGACTCGAAGAGGCGCAGCAGAAGCGACTGCTTGCAGGCCGCCGTGGAGGGCCTCTGCCTCCTGGGAGACTTCGCTCTGGAGCTGGAATCCGTCGTCTCGTCCCATCCGCTGGCCGCATCGCGCTTCGCGTGCAACGCGCCATCGCTGGGGCCTTCCGCCCCATGCTTACAGCCGCCGTCCACGTGGCTGGCATCGTCGTCGGCAGGGCCGGGCTGCGTACTGTCGTCGGGCTTGGTGTCGCAGGCCTTATTCTGGTGGCTCTGCTTGTGCTTGAGACTGTTGAGGACCTGCTGGCAAGTCCGCTGGGCCACCTCGTGGTCAATGACCTCGGTGCCTTCGCAAGGACTCTCAAAGATGCAGCCGAGAGGGGCGCCGTTCCCGCAGACGGTGCGCACTGGCACGGGGCCCTCTGCCTCATCGGGAACGGCGGGGCCCGCAGGGCCATTGTCCTCTGTTGTCGCGAGCTGATCACTAGTGACGTCCATCGTGTCCACCATCGCTGCCACCACCGCCGTCGCCATGCCTCTCGGTGTCTTAACCGAACTTGGAAAGCTGTGCCAAGACCCAGAGGGAAAAAAAAGGCAAAAACTCTGTTTTGTTCAGACATCAGCAGTTTCCCCCTTCAAGGCAACATACTCGAGAAAGTGCTGACGTGGTAGAAATCCTTACTGTAAAATATCTTACATCGACAGACGATGAACATTAAAAGGAATGTGTATGTCACTTCTAAAATGAAGCAAAACAAGAATGGCAGGAAAATTATGACTTTCATTCGTCACAGCACACTCTCAATTTCATTTTTTGATGGGGGTCATCGTGTACAGTACTCTTGGTCTTTTTTTTTTCCCAGAGCATGAGACAGGAAGATGAACATGGTGGATTAGCAAATATACATCACATTGATTGTTCATCAAAGTGGGTTTGTGCAGGACACGTTGCTGGAAGGAATAAGGGCTGGTTGTTGAGAATAACGATGGAATGACAGCCAAAGGATGGACCATACCCAAGGGTACATCGACCGTGGAGAAGGAGCGATGAAATCAGTTAAAGTGCAGGAGACAGATGGATTATCGCATCGCGAAACTGTGAGAGATGGGTCCTGGGTTTGGGGAAGTCTTAATCCAGCAGTGTATAAATGATGCATAATAATGATGAACTCGGTTTTCTGCAGCGCAATTCGAGAAAGGCCTCAAAGCACTTTACATGAAGCTTAATCACAGAGAAAGCCTGTAAAAGCAGAAGAGTTTTAAGACGCGATTTAAAAAAGTGCAAGAGACTCAGATTCCAGAATGGACAAAGGGAATTCCACAATCATGGAGCCTACCTGCAAAAAGCTCCGTCTCCCATCAAACAAAGTCTGGTCTTTTGGAATAACGAGCAGACCAGAATCAGCAGATTTAGGTTTTCGCAGTGGAATATAAAACTTAAGCAGATCGGTGATATATTTAGGCGCCAACTCATTCATGGCCTTAAACGTTAGAAGAAGAATCTTCAAGTCGCTTCCGTACTTTACAACAAGCCAGTGCAGGAAGGAAGGAATAGTAATATAGTCACAGGCTTTAGATCTCGTTAAAACCTGGACAGCTAAGTTTTGAACATATTGTAAATTAAGGCATTACAGTAATCCAACCTTGATTAATTAAAGGCACACACCAGCCTCTCAGCATCAAGAAGAGACAGCATAGGTCCGAGTCAAGCTTTGTTGCGTAAGTGAAAAATACAGATGTTGGTAATATTATGTACGTAGGCCTCAAACATGAAACCGGGATCTAGGATAACACCCAGGTTTCAGAACTCGGAGGAAGAACAAATTACAATGGCCACTCAAACCATCCAATGTACGCACTTGACGTGGAGTGCTCAACAATATAATTTGTCCTGTCACAATTTTATCTAAGAAATTGTAGGTGTATCTACAACTTGACCACAGCAAGACAATGTCATAGTACGGAAACTGCCACTTAAGCATCAACAACGTTGATGATGATAGTGGATTCCTCTTCATTGTGTCAGCTTGGTTTTGGTCTGCCTTAACGGTGTAAAAATATACGCTCTAAACTTCTTAAAATCTCAGTCAAGCGTGATGCGATCGATGTCGCCGCAATGGCACCTTGTCGCAAACACCGCTGGCATTCCCCTCTCGATCTCTGCAGGAGCTTGTGAAAGTTTCACAACAGCGCACACACACACACAACGATAGCAACGGTGACGGCTGATACGGTGGTGAGCGCTGCCAAGAAAGAACAGACTGCCCTCCCAGCAGTCAACCACATCATCCTCCTTGCAGGTTTCGCAAGTCAGAGATTGAATTAAATACATTACGTTTGCAAATGTGTTCAGAAAGTTACTTTTCGTGTCTACAATCAATACTGTTGCCTTGTGTTGCTATTCATGTCATTGCAAATGACAGAATGCACTGCTCTCAATGTATTATCACCTACCTTTAAATAAAGGCGATTTGATGTGATGTTGCAGTATGGTGTTTAAAATAAGCTCCATTGGAGGTGGCCGGATGGCTCGCGGGGGCGGTCAGAACAATAAACGTACATCACTGACACCTGGGTTTGAATCCAGTTATCAGTCGGCAGTTATTAAACCAGATGCTCAAGTTCTATGGGGCTTTCGGTAAAGTCACGTAAATAGGTTCAAATTAATAAAAAATAAAATAAACAAATTGTATTAATTTGAACCTATCTACGTTTCAAATTAAGCAACCATTGGAAAGATGTTCTAAATCGAACCAAACATTAAACTAATTTTCAATGGTACAGTATATTTTTTCAAGTAGTGGTACCCCAAACTTTCGCAGATCTTAAAATTCCCTTTTCACACCATCGAAGTGTATACCCAGTTGCTGTTAATAGCTCAGCTTATTGAAGAATATATTGAGTACATTTATTATATTGATGTAATTTAGACTTAGTTTTTTCACATCGGTTTACTGTATGATAGTTGGGTAGTGCAGCCCCTTTGGCGTCCATGTACTAGGTGCCTCTGTGGATGTGTAGGCTTTGACTTTAACATAGCTATTTCTGTGACCAGTCACAAGCTAATCCCTCAGCTATTTCAATGCTAAATTCTCCTGTTTAATATGTAAACTCCTTTGTCAAGGTGCCTCACTTCTCTTACCCAGCTTAAAAGACGCTACGAATCTTAGCAGCGTTCATTGAAGCTCTGTCGTCCCGACAGTTCTGTTCCTTCACTTGAAGAAGGCTACTTGTGTTGTGGCCGAAACGTCGTGATTTTTGTTGTTTTATTTTTTACCTACGTGACTTTACCGAATAGAACCAAAGAGTATTTACCGAAAAGACCCAAAGAATATGAATTCCTGCAGTCACGAAAGCTTTAAGTCAGATGTTCAAGTGTAGCAAGTTGATGGCCTCACTAGTCAACAATAAATACAGACACACACAAAATAATCTGCTTTGGTTCTTCATGAAATTTTTACAAATATTTCAAACCTGACAATAAAACATTTCACCGCTGTGCGATTAGCGTCGCAATAGCAGAGTCCGCGAAAAAGTGCAGCACCCATAGGGTGGATAAAATAATGCACTCAAATGGATCTCAGATGGGGTTGTGCGAAATATCCTTCTGCGGGCCACAGACACAGAGCAATACACTGCTCTGCAAAAAATAAAAAAAATGGACATGCCTTACGTCTCATTTAAAGCTGACGAAAACACAATGAAAATACATTTGGGAAACGTATATCGAAAGCTTTTTTTTTACCAGCATAATAATGAAGCTCACGATGGCTATTAAGAGCATGCCTATGCATCGCCACCACCCATCTTGATTATTGCATACCACAGCATTATGCACACGTGCACGCACGCACGCACACACAAATACCCATGCTAATTCTATGGCGCTTACACCGGGTACCAGTATTTATATTTAAATGGAATTCCAGTCGAGGGCCTCCATGTGCCGATGGCACCGTGTGACTGTCGTAATGTAATTCACACCCCATGCATTATTGACGCGGAACAGAATCGTGTTGCACCAGCCCTCGGCGGTACGCATTCACATGTTGCACACAAAGATGCGCACATATACACGCACACTTATCAGCATGCACAAAGACAAATATCCTCCGTGTAGCCCTGTCTGTTGGGGCAAGTGCTGTTAGCGAGCACCCCATGTGAAGGACGTCGAACAAAAGGGGGCGAGAGAGAGAGAGGGTGTGGCCAGAACCACACCCAGCCACTTGTCTCTCCAATTCTGGATGTTTACATGCTACAAAAGGTACTCAATTAAGGCCAAAACGACTTAGGAGGGCCCAGAACATGTTCAGATATTAACCACCGATGTTGGCCATGAGTGGGGGTAGAGATCTCTCGGGAGGCCGGGTTCATAGTGCAGCGACGCTAAACACTCACTGCGTCAGTGCCCGCTACACAATCGCACACAAAAGCAATGCACACCATCTCGTCGCATATTAACTACGTCCTGTGCACACAACATGAAGCACAAACAGCTTCATGCACACCCATTACACATTAACACAAACACCAGGAATGCAATTCACATTACGCAATTATACATATTAGTAACACACACACATTACACAAATAAAGTACGCATGCTTGCGAGACTGTATAACATGCAACACACAAACTACATGCATGACACACATTACAATAGATAACAATACACACACTAGACATATTATCACGGTCACACACAAATCACACAATCGATCAAACGCACATCCGATTAGCACGGTCGGCTTAGTCCGGTGCGGAAGAAGTTCAGCCGACATAGATAAACATACCCGGACACACACACACACTCTCAATACAGAGACAGTACACATATTATAACAATGAAACAAATCACAAGATACAAATGGCACATTACAGGATACAAATGGCACATTATACACAAATCAAGATGCAGCACATCGCACTCGGCCGGGTGTGGTACGTATAGCGGCTTGCATTCCGGAAGGTTTGCGAGTTCATATCCTTTAATTGGGGACTAACTCAGCCCATCATCCCTCTGGGGTTGATGAGACGAATACCACTGTGGATAAGTCAATTGTCGTTGCCCTATGTCTGTACTCGTCCCCGCCGTAAGAATGGGGAATGCCCTACCACTGGTTGAGAACTGTCAGATTGACGAATGACTCATTTGAGCAGAAAATCACAGACTTTTTCACTTTGACATCATACTGAAACACAAAACATTACACACACACAGTGCTTATCAAAAATGAACCACGATAGCTTGCTGACCTCGGAGGAGACTAAACCGACACGCGAACTCTGGGTCATCCTCGCAGCAGCGGATTTTGGCTCGGCCATCGAACAAAGGCGGCGGTCAACGCATAGCACGGCGCTTTTGGTTTGCGCTTCTGCGGCCGTCTGGAACGTTCTTCCTTCCGATATTAGGAAGCCTCGTTAAAATTTGCGTTGAAAACTCATTTCTTTAGAACTGCTTTTTTGTGTTTAGCTCGGTGTCCTTCCACCCGCACCTTACTTTACACCATACATTACGCAGTGCACAGACACGATCAGTCACACAAGCACAAAGATCCCCCGCCGCATAGCCTTCAACAGACTGTTGGGACAAGTGCTGTTAGCGAGCAACCAATGAAGACCGGAACGGTACAGGAAGGAGTGGCCAGCACCACTCCCGGCCGCCTTTGTCTCCCCAGTAGCGACTTACACAGCGCACCAGGTACTCGATTGAGTCAGAGTCGACCGAGAGGAGACCGAAGACCGGTTCAGATAATCGTCACTGGTGTTGGCCGTGAGCGGGAATCGAACTCGGATCACACAATTCACATTATTTACACACACACACAATGCACGCATCACACTCAAACGAACCATTTGCACATACACAACACACAGCGTGGTCACACAACACACACATTCCGCAGCTGTGACTCGACACACAACACACCTTGCACCATGTAATACTCTACAGTGACACGTATACACCGACACTGTATATGCTGTACATACACACCACGCGTCAATCATACGTCCCATCGGACACAATGCACTGTGTACACGTGTGTGGACTTGTGTACACACACACAACAATACATGGTGCCTACTCCAGACTGCTACTTTCACTGCTGCTGAACTGTGTACACACTGAACACACCACTGCGTATTGGACTCATGCTAAACACACACAACACAGTGTAGTACAACATACATACATTAAACAATGTACAGACAACTGCATGAGACGTGTCACATGTCACTTCACAATACACCCAAAACACATTCGATGATATACGAACACACGACACCAACAGTTTACACACCACACACTGACACAACACAATGGACACATATACACACCACACACTAGACAACACATTACACACCACACACACACTAACCACACATTACACACTAGACCACACATTCCACACCACACATTACACACTAGACCACACACACTAAACCACACATTACACACGAGACCACACATTACACACCACACACACACACTAGACCATACATTACACACCACACATTACACACTAGACCACACATTACACACCACACATTACACACGAGACCACACATTACACACGAGACCACACATTACACACCACACACACACTAGACCATACATTACACACCACACATTACACACTAGACCACACATTACACACCACACATTACACAATAGACCACACATTATACACCACACATTACACACTAGACCACACATTATACACCACACATTACACACTATACCACACACACACACTAGACCACACATTCCACACCAAACACCTGCATGTCACAACTAGGTGGTGTAAATGTCACTTCAGCGCTTTGTGCCAGGCTAGGTGCACTTTGAGGCCACGTAAAATGTTGAAGGCTCCCTGCAGGCAGGCAGGTCACGGGGCAGACCCAGGTGTTGGATTGTCGGCAGGTCAGCCCCTTAAAGCTTCAATATACAACAGTACAGATGTCGCTGTCAAGGGGAACGCGGTTTGTAAGTGCAGCACACATTGGGGCATGGCAGTTGTGCGTCACTTGAACAATCCAGCAAACTTCCACGCAAGCAATACGCTGCCGATGAAAAGATACCACAGCTCAACTCATTCGGATAACTCTCTTGCTTACAAACCACCGGTAGCCATGAACGCAAACTGAAAGGGTACGGTAACTCCTCCACACCAGAACATTGTAAATGTTCTGGTTTTCCTCTATCAAAAACACCGGTGTTGCTGTACTAGTAACGAATTGGCACGTTCTGTTTACGTGACAAACCTTACTAATTGGCTGTGTCGGGTGGTGGCGGGTTTAACGACACATTGATATATTATGGACCCAAGTGATCATTTACTTGTGTCGACTTGGGGAAGAGAGGGCAGGGTGCAATGTCCCCATATCTTGTCATGAAAAGGCTCTTCACTGCACACACGAATCGAACAGTTTCCCACCCAGGGTATCTGTACCGGATGGAAATTCCACTCGTACAACCATCCAAGGGTTCTCCAAAGTACGTGGTGATGAATGAAAAACGGAAAGTAGCCAAGAGGAACCCCAAGTTATATTTGGAATGGCTCTCGCTATCTGCGACACGGCTTGTCCCCACAAGCAGTGCCATCCTCGTTTGTTGTCCTTCCAACGCACCTCCGATTAGCACGGTTGTCTAAGTAAGGTGCGAAAGAAGTTCGACATACATACTTCATCATGCCGAGCTGAGGGTCGAGGTCCCGAAAGCATGAAGAACAACTCGATATCGTGGCCTCTTAATATTTGCCGTAGGAATGGCATATATTATAACACCATACACAAGGAACTACACACACAATGACATGCGTACACACATACATACATAGGACACCATACACTAACCACATACACGCCAGACCTCACAATGTACTAACACCCCACACACACCGTACACGACACACACACACTACTCACGCACACAATGTACACACAACACACGCAAATGACACGCACACCACGCGTATCCATTGCACGCCAGGACGCCGCCGTCTGCCCCTTTCCGCCCGCGCAGGGGAGGCCACGCTCCACGGTCTCTTCTTACCTGCGAGGACGACGAGCGAACGGCAAGACGCATGGTCCCGGATGGGGGTGCTAAGGCTGCCCCGGCTGCCCCGAATGCCGCCTCCGCTGCCACCGCTTTCACGATCGCTACCGCTGCATCCACAGCTGCCACCGCCTCGACAACGGTCTCTTCACCGCCCCGTCTCGTCCGACTGCTGATGCCGCTTCAACTGCAGGCACTATTGCCGCAACCTCAACTGCTGCCCCGAATGCTGCTTCCTACTCCTGCTGCTGCCCCTGCTGCGAAAGCTACATCCGCCAACCACCTCCATCCACTACTGACCTACTTTGTTCCTGCTGCCACTGCCTCACTCGACTAAAGCTTATACCACAGCACTGCCCTTCCTACCACTGCTGCTCCGACTTCCACTTCCCAACATCGCTCCCTTGACACCCCTACGTGAACCGCTGCCTTCACCACTGCCCCTACGCTCCCCTGCTGCCCCAACCTCGACAGGCACCTCCACTGCGGCTCTACGAGCCTCCACTTCCTTGCCTCGACTGCTGCTTCCACGACTGCTGCTCCCACGACTGCTGCCCCAGCTGCTGTCGACACGTGTCTACATTGTTGCCCAGACTGCCCCGCACCGCCCCCACGACTGCTGCTACTGCTGCCCCCGCTGCTAGCGCTGCCCCCGCCCAGCTGACTCCACGCAGTGCATGCCGGGGTCCTCGAGGACCCGTCGTGGCTGTCCGCAGCGAGTGCCTGAGCCCCGTGGTAGTCGTAAAGGGTCCCCTCCTCCCTCCTACGGGGCTGTCCACGGTGAGTGCCTGAGCCCCCGTGGTCTTAATCGAGGACCCCTCTGGGTAGTCCTCGGCATTAGCCTTAGGCCCCGTGGTTGCCGTGAAGGACCCCCAAAGAGCTGCCCGCGGCGAGTGCCTGAACCAGTGGGCATCAAGGACCCCTTAAGTGCTGCCCGCGGCGCTCGCATTTTTCTGCCTGTCCCGACCGTCGGGCTACTGCTGCCACCCGCCCGCCCGCCCGCCCGCGTTCCCCTCCCTCCCCGTCCCGCGCCGTCCCCCACCCCTCCGCCTCCCGCTCGCGCTCGCTCCGCCGCGGCCCGTCCGTCCCGCTCGTCGCTCCGTCCGTGTCCAGCGAGCGGGCAAGCAAGCAGCAGCATCGGCAGCATCGGCAGCAGTCCCTTTCGTCGCCGTTGGCAAGAGAGAGAGCACAGGGAAGGGCGCGAAGGGGAGAGCGAGGCGAGAGGGAGAGACGCCGGGGCCGCGGCAGGCACCGCCGCCGCCGCCTCCCTCCATGTTGGATCGGCGCGACGCGGCGCGACGTCGGCTGTCGCGAACGGGCGCCGCGACCGCCGCTGCCGCTCCGTCTCCTCCCGCCGGTCCCCTTCCTCCTGCGCGTCCCCCCCAGCAGTAGCAGCGGCAGCGCAGGCGGCGCCGACGGCGGCAGCAGCAGCATGTAACTGCCCCGGCGGGATCCATGTCGACCGAGCAGGACAAAGAGGCGGGCGGGAAGAAGCGCCACAAAGGTGAGGTGCCCGCGCGGCGGGCCGAGGCCGCTAGGCCAGCCCGGGGACGCGGCCTAGACGCGCCGTTTGCGGGCTTCTTGGCACGTCCGTCGCCCAGCTATTCTCGGGCGAGGAGAGCTTGCCGAGAGAGGGGTGGGTGGGGGTGGGAAGCTCTTCCCCCACTCGCCCGCCTCTCTCTACCCCCTTGTGTGAGGGGAGCTGGACGTAGCAGGGGTTCCTGCGGGACGGGGTTAAGATCCCGCACGAGAGGCTCGAGAAGGAAGGGGTTTCTCCCGGAGATTTGGTAGGAGCTCTCGGACCAAGAAGGGTTTCCTTATAGATGAGGAGGAGAGATCTTTTGACAGGGATAGAGCCCTGGAGGAGAGGGGATCTAGATGGTAGATGCCTCGATGAGGGGTTCCGAGGCGTTCGTCTGGATGAGAGGATCCAGATTGTAAGTTGACTGAACGAGGAGGAGGACCCAGAACTAGGGTTTCTTCACAAGGGGGACTTGTACGAAAGGTTTTTTTTTTTTGGACCATGGGGGTCGTTTTGTAAGAGGGGGCACATGTACGATATAATTATTGTATGGGAAGGGGGCTTCACTGAGACTGCGATAGGGAACAAATGAGAAGATATTTTAACTGGAGGAATCCGATGAGCCATGAAGCTGTTTTAACACACATGTCCAGTAGATCTGTCCAACATAGCTGGACCCATGGCAAGCGGTTTCCCTGAACGAGTGGGGTGGGTGGGAATTTGATGTTCTCTGGGCGACGGGTAAGAGAGACCTCGTGGTGGCGAGGAGGCTGAGGTTTCATCTTCACCATCTTAATCTCGCCGCCGTTCCTGAGTTCTGGCATCTCGGCACGTGCTGGTGGCTTGGGTGCTCTGCGCTGCCGTTTTGTGGCGTTTGCGTTGCTGGTGGTTTTGTGTCGTTGCTGGGATTTGGTGTTCGTACCGGTGTCGTCTCTACGTGTTGCTGATAATGCTGGCATTGGTTTTGTTGGTGTTGCTGGTGGTGTTTGTCACTGGTGTTGTCCTTCGCCTCGGTGTTTACCGATGTTTGTGCATCATCTTGCCGCTGTTGGTTACTGCGCAGCGGCTATTTCTGCTGCCGCTGCTGCTGATGGTAGTGTGAGTGATGCTGTTTGTGTTGCTGTAGTGGTTGGCTGCTGCTGGGTCGTTGTGAGGCTACTTGTGGTGGGCACGGGATAATCAAGAGCTGTGAAAATCCCTCTGCTTGGTGCCGGGGTAGGGGACCCTGAGCCTTTTGCCAGGGTCTTAACACGACTCCTCATCCCAGCCCTCCTATTCATCCTCGTCCTCCTGCCCAGCCCCACTTTTGTGTCAGTGTTAGGGACAACTAAATTGCTTAACGTATGGCTTTGGTTTCAAAGGTTGTGAAGGTTGCACCGCACATGACGGCGGTTTATCCGCTCGTGGCCACGAAACAGGAGGTGATGGCATTTATGATTCGGGCATCTTGCTTATTTGCTGCTCATGCGTGTGTACTGGTACTGTGAGAACGGTTTTTTTTCGTACTATTTCACCGTTTGACAATGGGCAGAAGAAGTGCCATCGCGATCGTGAGATGTTAAAATGTCTTCAGGTTGCATTCCAGGACAGCGATTTGCGTGAGCTGCTTTACAGGCTGCTGCTGTATAGTGCCCGTCGAGCGCGCTCATCACAATGCCGCTTGCCGGTCCTTGGGCACAATTTTAAACAAGTCTCTTCTTCAGCCTTTATCCTACGAACCTCATATTAATTAATTCCCAAATGTGACGGTACGCGAGGCAGCGTTGTCTTTGGGGAGCATACTTGTTGCGTTGATGTTTCGTTTTTGTAATGGTTCTAGACGTTTCGTGAAACTGTACAAATTCCGTTAATTGTGATTAAAATATTGGAGAGCCTTATTTGCATGCCCTTTGATCAGACTCTTATTCGTCGTATTGCCCATGAATCTTTAAAGTTACATCATTATCGTCCATTGCCACTTCAAATCCAGATAACAAACAGAAAACAAACTTGATTTTAAATGAGTAGCTATTCAAACTATTCTGCAAGTTTCAAGCAACAGCCATCAGAAATCATTATACACTTACCGCCACTTCTGTTGCAAACCCATGTTAACATAGGGCATTTAATGAGGCACGAAAACTACCACAAAATTGTCAAAACTAAATAAAGAAAAACCCTAAACGTATGGTGAGTCATGTTCTCTATTAGTCTACAAAATAGTAATTGCCAATTCTAATATCGCCATTGGTGCTAAAAAAGTTTTAAATACATTATTGACTAGCTGATGCTTCTTGTTGCTTAAATTAACCAGTTCTGATCACGTAAATTCCCAACGCCTGGATTTTACAAGGAACTCTACTTTATCCTCAAAAGAGCAGGATAATTTAGTGGTTGGGATGCACGGTATATCCGGGTTTTTTTTTATAAAGTCCCATTTTAGCTGAAGACCGAATGTAGACTATTTATAGCTTGGAGTGTGTTATATTGCTTTTGTATTATTCAAATGTATAAAATGCTATTTAAAAGAAAGGTAAAACACATTTGAACCAGGAAATATCTAAAGCCAATTCTGGAACACAGTAGGTAGTTACAGTACTAAACTAGTACTGCTTGGCGCTAACTCATCGGCACAGTGTAGTGCCGCAGCTATCAACATGTCTGCACAAACACCCCCATGATATGCGGGACACGGTATATCCGCCCACGTTATTTCGAGGACACTGCTTGCACGGTACGTAAGCTAATAACACAGGACTGTGTGCAAGTGTATTTTGCACCGCGTGAGTCTGTTTTCAGTTACCCAGTGCTGTTTGTTCAACTGCTGAACAGCCATCAGTCTGAAGTAGAGCTGGAATGATTAGTGAACTAAAAGTTGTAATCGACTACTTTTTTGTGGTTGATTACTCATCCCCCCCTCCCCACATCCTGCCTCCCGAAGGCAGGAAACCCCTTGCAAGCCATGCCCAACGTGATGCAGCTAAGGCCGATGATGTCTTCAAGCCCCGCCCATCACCTCGCATCTAGTGGCACACGTGGGAACAGAGGTGAAACTTTTTTCCCCCCAAAATCGTTTTGTGTTATCCGATTTGTCGAGTAAACAAGCAGATAATCGGTATAGTAATCGATTAGCTAAGTAATCGGATAGGCCAGCTGTAGTCCGAAGCTCGCTTTGGTTATTAACGTTGATTTTGTTTTTGTGGGGCAGCAGGCGCAGAGGCTGACCCGGATGGGAAGGACCTCTTTGGTCCACAGGGGAGCCCAGAGAAGAAGAAGAGAAGAAATAACGCGCAGGTAGAATGTTGCACTCACTGCCCAGCATCGCTCATTCGCGAGCATCGTCTCAATCAAAGATTTGTAGCACCCGTCCTTACCTCACAGTAGATCCTCCATCCTGGCCTCCATATCCGAGCCTCGCAGCCCATCCGCTCTGCTTCAAGTGGACCGAGTGCACAGCCTCTGGTTGCCAGTAGCCCTTCTCAAAATCGTGCTATGTTATAAAAAGTTTTGCTGGCTGGCTGGTGCGCGGGCGGGGAAGTGCACGGTCACCACGCGCATCTGCCTGATTTCACCCGCATCCCACAGCGTTGAACCGGGTTCATGCGTCACGCTGACGTCACACCTCCCCTCTCCCACCCACCACCCTGGCTGTGTGTCCGGTGCAAATGCGTGACCAGTGCTAGTTATAATTCATGTACTGCCCTTCAACCTCCTGCTGGATGAAGGGCTTCCCATGCCTTGTTGGACAGAGGTTGTTTGACCATACCTGACCATGCTGGTCAGTGCTAGTTGGTGAATGGGTGAGGACCCAGGATCAGGTCAGATCTCACTCGCCACTGATTTTATCCGTGGCTGAGAATGTAACTTCAGTGGCTGGGTTCATAGTGCAGTGCATGAAGCACTGTGCGATCTGCTCCCCACGGCCGTTTTTATGTGGAAGAGAGTAATGCAATTTATTGCAACCGATTTTACAAAATCCTTCATGTAAAACAAAGCAAAACTATTAAAAATGCTGCAAATCATATATTGCACGGGGGTACTTTATATATTTTTGTTGTAATGATTTGGTCGAAACGGTTGCATTAAATCAAGTGATTTAAATTTGCGTAAAATGGGCTGGCATTGTTGAATTTGTGATGTTGTCTTATCTCTCCAAAATCCACAGTCCATAGGTCTTGGACTCTACTGTCCCCTTCTGCCCTCCATTCTTTACTTTGTATAATCTTGGCTTTTCTCTGTATTCATCTGGAAACAAAAAATGCAGCGGTTTATTTGGTTGCGTGCTTACTTGGACACATGCACTTGCTGAAACCGAAAGTAAATTGTAAGATTACTGCGCAGTAAATGTCAATGATATTTTTTTTACCAAAGACAATTTTATTTCTGATGCCTTTACTAATCCTATGTATTTGGCCCCAATTATTTTTTTTGACGTTTCAACCTTTTGTGTAAAATAACAATTGTTTTATGCAGCTGTTAATATGTGAATTACTCCATTGTTTGAAACTGTCTGCTTCATCGTAGGTCTGAGCATTATCCCACCCATTGATGGGTATTAAATACTTTTTTAAAGTACTTGAAAACGCTTGTGCATATTGCCTTAAAGGGGGACGTTGTACAATAGGAGGACTAACAATCATAATTTTCTTTCATAATAACTTACTGTTATTGACTGTTTCTGCCTTTTTACTGGACACAGAAGCAGTGTACAGGCATCCTTTGGGTTTGTGGAATCTTACGTGATTTCTTTGGTATTTACAAATGTATACTTCACCATACCGCCTGTGATGACTCAGGCAAAGAATTTTACATTTATTGTTCTCACTGCTCTTTTTAGAAAACGAATACAGATGATCGTAGTGGTTGTAAATTCTAATGGTGTTATAGAATGGCTGTAAAGGTGAGTTATGGCATGTAATCGAGATTTTTGCTTATAACTAAAAAAAATCTAATTACCAACATATCTGCATTTGGGTCCCCAAAATTATGGCCTGCAGTCTTTTTAACTCACTGGAGAAGCTCAATTTCAAGTTATAAATGTATTTCTGTTTTATGATAAAACTTAAATGTATGCAATCTCCGAAATCAGTGAACCAAGTAATTTTTCTGAAATGTGACATTTAAATCCATAATATTTGTGAAAAGCACTATATCCAGTTTGATCCACTGCTAGATGAGGGCCTTCCCATACCTTTCCAGTCATGGAGGTCGTTTAATCATATTTCACCACGTCCATTATTGTGGATTCACGATAATACTCATGCAACAGCAGTACATAACAGGAATCCCAGCATACTCTGCATTTAAAGATTAAATTACCATACTTGTGCATATTCTATAAAAGGCCGTGCTTTCTCAGCGATAAAAAAGTTATTGAAGTTGCACTCTGTTGTTTTAAAACAGTGAACCCTTACACCAGTACAGTCTTTCTGTGCTTGTCACAAGCATACGGCTTTGAATTAAGCTTTGCCTACCAATTGTGTAGCCATATTATAGATTCATTTAAAAAATGTATTGCCTCCTACAGTGCTTATTTGATTATAACAATTAAGAAAAATAAATGGGCTTGGGCAGGACATATTGCTAGACAGGATGATGGCCGATAGATGAGACTGGCACTTGAATGGCGGCCGAAGGAGAGAAACACTCCTTAGAAGATGATCACTGCGGAGATGGAGGGATGAAATATTTTTCTCACAGCGGATATACAATGGCTGATGATGATAATCACATGGTGAACAATTTTGATGTATTTAAAATTGCAAATGTATATGTAGACTGTTGGATATTGGACAGCCAATGACAATATGATGTGTCGTGCATTTCAGGCTCCCCCTCCCATCTCGGAGTTCGCCCCTCCTCCGACCCCAATGGTGGACCACCTCGTGGCCGCAAACCCATTTGATGATGACTTCATCCCGTCCAAGGGGCCGATGGCTCCCAGCGGTTTCATGGGCAGCCGTCCCGGCTTCCCGCCGCCCGGGCCCTACGGCGGCTACCGCATGCCGGGCTCCGTCCCGCCGAGGATGCCTTACGGAAGCCCGGGTTACAGAGCTGGCCCGCCGCACCACCACATGGGCGGGCCCCAGGGGCCGCCGTTTCCACCCAACTACATGGGCATGGGGTTTGGCCAGGGTGGCGGAGGAAACTTCGGCCACCCCGCCAACGTGGGCTACGGTCCGCGCGGCGCCCCCATGTTTCATCCAGGCAGGGGTGGGCCTAATTTCAGTCCGCCTCACGGCCCCATGGCTGGGCCGGGGGCAGCGCAAAACTTTGGTGGGCCCGGACCCGGTCCCGCCTTCAGCCAGGGCTGTCCTCCGACAAGTAATCCAAACTTTGGGCCTGGCCCTGGAATGAACTTCATGCAGAGTCCCCCACAAGGTGTAAATCCGAACTCAAACATAGGTGGTCCCAACCAAAACCTTCCACAGGGGAATGGACAGAACCTCAACCACATTGCCAACCAAAACTTCAGTCAAGGACTGCCTGGTCAAAACATGAGCCAAAGTCCCAGCCCCATCATGAGCCAGCTTATGAGCCAAGGCACAATGAGATTAAACAATGGGCTAGGACCTGGCCAAGGGTTCGGGCCAAGTCCTGGTCAAAACAACAAACACGTGGGACCCGGCCCCAACATCAACAGCCAGAGCCCCAGCCAAAGCTCCAGCCAACAGGGACCCATTCAGAACATGGGCCAGAACACAAAAGGCTTCGGCCAAGCCAACAACATCAACCTCAAGAGCTTCAACCAAGACAGTAACATGTTTGGTGGCCAGATTGGCGGGGATACCAGCAGCCCGAGCTCTAATCAGCCCATGGGCGGCCCAACGGTCAACTCCAACCAGACGAACTCGGGCCCCAACAATGGCACGCTAGACGGCAACGCCAACAGCGGCGGACCGGCGCCCAGCGGCGCGTCTGCCCCGACGGGCTCTGTGAACAGCCGGCCCGTGGGCCTGGGCGGGGGGCCTCCTCCCTCGTACGCGTGTGGAGCCTGCCTGCAGGAGGTGAGCGAAGGCCAGGAGGCGATCCCGTGCGAGGTGGCGTGCCAGCGCTGGTTCCACCGCGAGTGCGCGGGCCTCTCGGAGCTGGCCTACAAGCTGCTGGCGCGCGAGGACTGCGCCGTGTGGGCATGCGACGGGTGCATGGCGGGGGGGGACGGTCCTCTGCACCGGCTCACACCCACGCAGTCGCAGACGGCGCAGCCCTCGCCGGCCAACGCGGCCGGCGAGTGACACTTGCCCGCCCGCGATGCCCGTAGCTTTTTTTTTTTTTTTGCAACCTCCAGTCCCCTCTGCGAAGCAACGCTACACTAAAGCTTGTGTCCACCGAACCTAAAATAAGTCTGTAGCTGCCTGGGTCAGTCGAGCGACGGTCATACACACTAATACTGTTTTTGTGTCATTTCTAAAAGGTAGAGAATGCCAAGTTAACGTGATCCGTCGCGTCTGGCGTACAGTCTGGCGTTCACGTTCCTCCCAGCCACTGCTGCAAGATGATTGTAACTCGCGGTGTCATCGAGAAGTCATGCCAGGATGCATGCAGGATAAGCTCGTATAGTTCTAAACGGGTTTAAATGCCCCTTTGTAATACATTACAGTACAATCCGCAGCCTGCAGGAGATTTGCTACACGTTCATAATGAGCAGGAACAAAAAAAATCCGAGCGGAATAGTGCAAGCTAACAGTGCTTGGTAAAATAATTAAGACTAAATAGGTAATTCTCTCCACAGTCCCACAATTTTGAGTGCAAGTAAAACAAAAATTGGATACATTTTTTTACAGCCTTGCGTTAATTTCCGCCACTTAACCTGGTGTCATCACTGTAAGTGGGCAGCGCTGTATAGCCATAGCCGAGCGGTTACTTCACAAGCACAGACCTGCGCGACACAATCGATGAAGGGTCGCTCGCATGTACGAGCGACAGTATCTTAAAATTTGAGCGCATATGACAAGCGTGTGTACCCAGTAGAGGTGTCTTTACCAAAAAAGGGGCCCAAATGTCTCGTGGCGAATGGCCCCAGGAAACACCTGTAACCCGCATCCAATGTTTACCAGGCAAACTTGTGACTGTGTGCATCAGTGAACAGCTGTGTTTGCAGACACGATCTCCCGCCAGAGTTCGTTTTTAGATCATCTCTGCTCGAGGGATGCGGTTCCGAGGCAACTCGTGTTGGTCCAGTGCTTATGAGAGGTCAGGCACTGGCTTGAGATAATTGCTTTCTGGGCCACGTGTTAATTGCTGGTAATTATTCATATATAACTAGGTTGAAAATGCAACAAAAAAGACCCTTGAATACAAATTGGCGCATTAATATGTAGTTTGTACACAAACAAGGCAGGCAAAATTAAAGTGGCCTAAACGTTCTCTTCATATTTTATAAAACACTAAATGTGCTGAAGATTCAAAAACACTGCGGAGCCACGAGGGAGGGGGAGGCCCTTTGGTTTTTTTCAAAACATTACTCCAAATGCCATTTTTTTTATTCAGATATGGTTTTGTTTAAACGTCTACCTGGAATGTTACTCAACCTGATGTTTTAAACGTGCATAGATTGGTTGTGGTGTTCTCTTATGAGAGCTTTGAGTTTCCCGTGCTTGTTAAATCTAGCAGTGTGCCACGTGTGTTTTATGGGGTAGGCAGTGAAATTCCTAACACGACCCTCTGTTCGGGTAGGCTTACTGCGTCGTTAGCAGCAGGCATTCAAGATCTCCGTGTATTGGTTTCTGTGTGTCCGTTCGTGGCAGCTATAAGATGTATGGTTTTTCATACAAAATATTTCACTGGTTAGGGGTTTAGGGGATTGGGGGGGGCGGGGAAAAAATATCGACAATTTTGCTACGGTAAAAAAGTAACGTGTCCCATGCTTTAGTGCTGTCGTGATGTTGAACTTGCGTCCATTGCAGTAATTTGAAGAAAAAAACTTGTACCATAGTGACAATTTGTAGTGATGGATTTCTGTATCGTGCTCATTGTTTACATGACTGGGAGCCATTGAGTGCATGAAGGGAATTTGAAGTTATACACGTATGCTCTGGATGAAGGAGCATCTGCTCGCTCACTCTGATCTGCACTGTTCATTTTCTTTTCTTGTTATTTTTTCATTTCTTTTTCATTAGAGACACGACGCAAAAGTGTGAATTACTGGCAATTTCTTAAAAGCAGCCGGGGGGGGGTGCCTTTTCATGGTGAAGTATGTAGGCTTTCAAAGTTGTCATCGGTGATCAATAAAAATAGAAATGATGTAAAGGCAGAGACCCTGTAATTCAAAATAAATAAATCATAGGTATGTTACCATGTCAGAACAAGCTACTGTATCTTTCTAACTGTGATTACAGTATGGTTTCGTTTGTGAATCTAAACGCAGTAAAATCAGATTTGTAAAGTGATGTGAAAACACGAGTTGAGTATTTCATTGATATTGTCATAACAATTACACTTGCAGAATAGAAGTTTTGAAAGTTGGTTCCTATTAAAAGTGATTTGATTGTGAAACACAGTCGAGATATCTTTACATGACCCTCTATTAATATCTCCAAAAAAAGCGACCAGTAATTCTAGCAAGCCTATTTATATCGCATGTCCCGTGAGTCTTGCCAATTGGGCCCAGAGTGTGGTGTAACCGACAGCAGAGGGAGGCGGATGCCTTGGGCCAATGACCAGGACTCGCCAGGCACCGTGGTGTCCTGCTCTGCAATCCGTTTAGACGATAAAGAAAGAGTGAAAACCGTGCGATTTTGAGCCGCTACGGAATGCAGGTGGTGGTGGTGCAAATTTGCGTAAATGTTCTTCCATGCTCGTGAAGCGAGCAGTTTGAACACGCAATCGAGGTTGGGCTGAACGAGGAGGGTGGAAGGGGTGCAGCGGCTATTTGAGCCCGGGGGCCTTGAGGAATAGGAATAAAGGAACCCATCATTTCACCCAGCGGTGCGGGGTAATTACGTGAAAACAGGCAGGGTCAGGTTCTTCCGTGGGGACGGATTGCGAGATTTATGTAGGAACGGCATATAATGGGTGTTTTTGTTTATCCATTGTGGTTTTTATTTTCTTTGTGCATACACCAAATTAAATACGGACGCATGTCGGATGTCGCAAATGAGACGCATTGGGATGCGGGGGGAAATCTGCCGAATGAGCAGTGACGATTCCTGCAGCAAGTGGGGTCTATTCGGACAAATAGCTCTGCATCGGGTCAGCCGATGCTGAGGTTGGGACTCTTGTGCCAGGAATCAGTCGGCGGTGTTGGGCAATGGGGTCATGCTGTACATGAATAGAATAAAGAGATGGCAATGTGGGGGCCCTTTTGAGATAAATAGATGGCGTTTCTTTTTGTGAATGGTACTCTGCTGCTTGTGAATAACTCCACAAACTTCCCAAACCATTTTACTTTCCGTTGCCTTTGTTTGTTTGTTTTTGTATGAAAGTGAAGACACGCAAAGTTGTTAGTGTGGTCACAAGACGGTGTTGGCGTTGCTCTCTGCTACACGAGGTTCATCGTGCCGGGTTATGCTTAGTTATATACTGTATCTATTGACTTAAATTTGCCCAAAAAACTAATGGCAATAAACCCTGATTGTTAAAGTGCACGTTCTTAGGTTTGCGCAAGAAATAATATATGACAGTTCCCCCCCCCCCCCCCCCCCCCCAGTAACAGTTGGTAAACTGATAGCCAAATCATATTTAATGATCAAAAGCCACTTTTGCTGCGTTCTCTTTCAGCGCTGCCCATCCCAAAGTGTATAACACCTTGTGTTAGATCTACATTCTAGAGAATGCTAACTAACGATGCTAATTGATGCAACCTTTCAAATAAACGATGCAACACTAACCGCAAGGAAGGGAAAGGAAGGTTTAGAACACTTAATTTTTTTTCTCCTCTTATGTTCAGCATTGTTTTACAATTTTGAGATTGTAGAAATGTACATGTGCAGATGCTGTGTTTACTTCCCCCCCGGTGTACAAACAACAACGCTGCTATGGTTTAAACAATCAAAGATGCCGGTATTTTTGGACTCAACATCACAAGAACGGTTGAATACTGTGTTTTTAAATAGTAATGTCAAGATATGTTTTTATGTGCTTGTTTATATTAAAAAAATGACAACATACTGTACAGCATCGAGGTTTATAAAAACGCGTGACGATAAAAAGGGTGAATGCTCTTGCTGTAAGTGTGGTCTTCCTTCACGTTTGCTGTGTTCCATGGTCTGTGATTGGCACGTTAAAAAACAAGTGACGCTAATGTTCCGTTCAGGTACAAAGCATTTGAATTTGTGTTTGCCCCCCTTTGGGTGCTATCAGTTACCATTGAGCATTAAGTGCTTTATGAAGAAACGAGTGGGAATGGTGTCTTTAAAAGCATTATGTGCCGTAATGTTTGGCTTTTAGTTATGACTGGCATATAGTGGTATTAGACGAACATTCAGTGTCCTATGTTTTAGTAGATTTCTAGCATTTTATATACTGTTATTGTGTTGGTAATAAGCAAAAAATTAATTTTTATACTGTTTTCATACTCCATTACCATTACTTGTACATTGTTCTTTGTAATAAAAGAAAACAAATGAGCTGTTTCGGCGTTGTACTCTGTCAGAGAAGGGTCTACACGCCACAGTGAGTGCCATTCATTTGAGTTATTAGTGTAAAGGGGCCCCACAATGCTAGAGAGCCAGGCGGCAGTACGTGGGGGGGGCGGCTGGTGAACAGCACCACCTGTTGCTGACCTTTAAGGCCGCCATACACTCGAACTATTAAGGCCATTTGTTGCCAACAACTGTTGTTGGCAACTCGTTGACGATAAGCGACTACACGATACGCTTCTGCGTTCGTCAGGAACGCTCTTCCGACATGCAGAAGCCAAGGAGCTATGCACTTTTAAATCATCTAGATTGGAAACTTGATTTCTTTAGAGCTGCTTTTTGTTGTTTCGTTGTCCTTCCCCCGCACGTCCGATTTGCACGGTTGGCTACATACGGTGCCAAAGTTCAACACACTATGGAAACTTGGTAAAGCAGTGGCATAGAGCAACAATGTTATGTGTAAACCAATCTTCCAGTTTTTTTTTACTAAAAGATCTAGCCCGGTGGCTCGACGTTCGAAACGAGTGGCTCGCGATCAGAAGGTTGCGAGTTCAAGTCCTGTGTGGGAGTTGACTTGGCCCATCTTCCCTCTAGGGTCGATACAATCAGTACCATTTTGTGGGGGAAGTCAACCGTGGTTGTCCTATGAAAGGAAAAAAACACTTCCATCATAGGAATGTGTAATATTCACCTCTGGTGACAGTTGCTGGTATTGTTCTAATATTCCAGTGCCTCGATAATCTCCACAGGCATCGGGACTTGTGCCATTTTCTCTGAAATGTGGTGCTGGTCAAAATAATTGGCGTATTATTATGGTCCATCATGGTTTTTTGCAATTTCCAGGTGGCTCCTCTGCAATGATTCATGTTTATACGCTTTGCCCATTCTTCCTGAGGTGGAAAAGCTGTAGTCACCATTACCTGTGCTGTAAAGAAGGGATGTTGCCCAAAAGATCACCATTGATATACTTTTTTTTTCCTTTGTTGAGGCATTTTAATTGATGAATGTGTTGAATTCGTGTCATTGGTGCTTAGTGTACCAGTGCCAATGCATCAGCACCACCAAATAATGTTACATAACACGGCAAGCAGTTCATCTGTATGCATGAATGTTTGTCAACAGGATACCTAGACCACAGCAAGAATATCAACTCCGGAGGTGTTATTTGAAAGATTATGCGATGTTCACGCGGGCGAGATTAAAAATGTTGAACATGTTAACCGGCTTATTTGGACTGCCACAACCCTGGCGATGCTTATCCGCTCTACTATTTACAACGGCACCTCCGTTGACCACGAGGCCCTGTTTCAAAATCATACAGTAGATAAGAGCGTGCCCCCCCCCCCCCCCCCCCCCCATTGATTCCCAGTTGGACCTTCCCACTCGTTCCTTTAAATGCATAAGTCACGCAAATCACATTTATTTGGCAAGATGTAAAAATATTTTTTATTGTTGCACCTTAGGAAGGCCGCTGAGTGTTTGGTTCTGGTCCATGCACTGGCAGTGTCAACGTCACAGGTCTGCACAACGTGGCCGTTATACAGGGCGATCCACTGCTGGATACTCCAACTACAATATCAGGTATAAATTATCGACAAAAAGCTACATATCAAACACGAAAGGCTATCGCGACCAATTATTATTAATAATAAAGTTTTTTTGGGTTAGATCGTGTAAATATAAATGCGTCGTAAATTAATTCCATTACACCGGTGGGCTGAAGTTGTAACTAATTGTCGCGTTGTATCCGCCACAACACTTGCTGGCTGTGTCGGGTGGTGGAGGGTTTTACGACACATTTATACCGACGCGATCTATCCAAAAAAGCGCCTCTCTCCACGTCTCCCACCGATCTCAATTCTCCCCTTGTTATCGAATCTGCTAACACACTTCCAGTCTCTGCGAGGCAGGGAACCATCGCTCTCTGCGCAATATTCAATCGCCCGTTGAGAGCCAAAGTAATAGCAGGGTCATTAGAAGCGATTGGGGGTGTGCATTGTTAATGGATCACTCGCCCTGTGCAACGCAGCTTATGGACATATAGCAAGCACGTGTCGCAGTAGCCTCTGTTCAACCCTCAACGATTGGAAATCGGCGGGTGTTGTTGTTGTTGGGAGTGATTTTAGGCAGATATAATTGGTGAGTCAGTTTTAACACGTAAGCGAGTTTAACGGCACGTGCATATTTACGCGATCTAAACCACACACACACAAAAAAACCCCGCTGTTTAATACGCACGCTTTCGCAACCAAAATCATCCATAGTACAGGGGGTTTTTTTTGGGGGGGGGGGTTAAATCGCGTAAATATATAAATGTGTGGTTAAACCCGCCACCACCCGACACAGCCAACTAGTAAGGGTTGTCGCGTAAACAGAACGTGGCCAATTCGTCACTAGTACAGCACGACCGGTGTGTTGGAGAGCAAATCCACAACATTTACAATCTGAGTGTTCGACGTTTCGCCAGTAATTACAACCGGCATCGTCATGCCCAGCCAGATTTGTGAAGAAATCGCCGCCGCTTCGTTCCAAAAATTAAAAAGAAACCTCGATTACAGATAATTGGGTCGGGAATGTCGGCGGCATCCCTTCGCGCGCGCGTGAATCCGGTGTTTCCGTACGGTCAAAACGGGGTTCGTGCTGTCTTGCCGCACACTGAACGGAGGAGTTGTCCAATGTCTCCTACCCCAATGTTGTGCCAATCATCAAGTATCCCACATCAGCTTCGGGAGAACTTAACGGCATAAACACAGCCTTCGCAGAGCTCGCGGGAGTCTGGGTGGGTGGGTAGGTACGTGGGGGTGGGGGATGGTGCCCTTCTGATCCCCGAGGGGACCCCCCCGAGAAGCCGCTTGGCGCGTGGAGAAAGGAAGAAAAACAAATCTTCCCCGAGGGCCGTTCCTGTGGCGGGTCGCGCACGGAATAACACCCCGGCAGTTTTTGTAAAATGGCACCAAGGAACGGAGGAACGGTCATCATTTCGACTCGCCGCAAGCCGGCCAGAGCAGCCAGAGCAGCCAGCCGCCCCCACCCCCCCCCACCCCCGGTCTCCTTCTCATCGTCGTCATCACGAAGAGGGTGCGTTTCGTTTCTTATTTTCTCGGGCGACGTGATGCGAATGCACAACTCCCGCGCGCGCGTGTGCGTGCGGGCTCCTGTGTCGTCCCGTAACCGCTCGCCACCCCCACCCCCACCCACCCACCTCCTACTGCGCGCGCTTCGCTGTTATTCACCGCTAGTAATGAGCTGCCACGCTGGTACGATGAAGCCAGACGTTGGTGGTGGTTGGTAGTGGTGGTGGTGGTGGCGTCGTTATAGTGGAGAGGGGGGGGGGTGCAGCCCTACCAGCGGATTGTCGAGAGGCTTCGTCCGAACAGAAACATTCGCAGCAGCAACAGCAGCAGCAACAGCAGCAGCACCCATCACCACACGCCACCACCCATCAGCACCCATCACCACACGCCACCACCCATCAGCACCCATCACCACCCATCACCACACGCCACCACCCATCAGCACCCATCACCACGCATCACCACCCGTCACCACCCAACAGCACCCATCACCACCCGTCACCACCCCCGTCCGTCCGTCCTTTTTCGGCGAGCCACAAGCTTCTGAACGCAGATTCCGTTAAAGGCTGCTAATTGGGGGAAAATGTGGTTTAAAAAAACGTGTTTAAAAAAAAGTTAAACAGATCCAAGCATCTGTTTCCTCTTCATCGCCAGCGTCCCCAGAGTGCTGTGACAGGCACACGTCTCGTGGCGTCGTAACACAGCAGCGGCACGTCGAGAGCGCGCATAGCTGGAAATGTGATTGTTGAGCATCCGTTGTGTGGATAAGGCCGTCATCCAGCAGTGGATTGATCGTGGCTGCTAATGCGGCGAGGCGCAAGCCTACATGCTTCTCAATACAATGCGCGTACTCCCGTGGAACAAGTGGACGTTACTCCAACTCAAGCTCCGACGTCGGATGCCGGGGACTGGCTTACACACCATTAAACGTGCAATTGTAGCCTGCTGATGTTTACAAACGTCTTACCAAATAAGACAAATAATCTTGATTTGAAGCTTTCGTGACTGCAGGAATCCACACTCTTTGGTTCTTTCGGTAAAGTCGGGTAGGGAGAAAAAAATAATTGATCACGACGTTTCGATCGCCACACAAGCAATCGTCCTCAGGTGGGATAGAGAAACAGGCTGCTGAAACAAGTCCTTATATATAGAGCCAGCTTTTTATAGATATAATGACTTGATAGGCGAATGTCTATAAAGATTAAGGATGCTGCCCATGCCCACATACCTCGATACGGCTTCCAGTGGACATCCACAACGGAGATTGTCGGTAACCGTGAATCATTCAGCTAATGACGATCTGTGTTGATCCGTCGATGAACATCGATTCTTAAACTCACGATACATGTGTGTGTAATGATATAAGGTATGTGGCCGTATTATTTATGATTGATGTAAGTTGTATGAAAATTCTATGCTTGTGTGCGTGTTTTAGTCCAATAGCAACAAACACAAGCTGAAAAACATGAGCCAACAGATTATTCGGTAATAATATGAAAGATTGAGTTGTGTGTGTATATATAACGCATTACGCCAGAGCACCTCAGAGTGCTCGAAACGCGATAAGTGACACACGTCACAATCTTATCTCAACATTTTGAAGGGGCACCCCCAGTGGAAGCTGTCCATGGGCGGAACAAGGTGACTCGGAACCTGGCCTGCAAGCGGGCATTCCTAGTAGGAGGAGGGGTGGGGGCAATTATTTATTCGAGGTAATAATCCCAACTGAGTAACTTGCCGGTATTTTTTTTAATGAAAAACCGTGGGTCTGTGATGCCAGCACACAATGGCCTACTCGCATGGTTCAAGTTAACTCACCCACAGTAATAACCAGGGCAGCCTGACAGATTCAAACCGCGAACCTCTGTACCACAAGCGGCGAATGTGCTACACATTTGGACCATGTCACCGAAT